GCCTTCACTAGTGTAGTTGTGTGATGTTTCAACTTGTTGAGATGCATTTTTCTGTGCCATACAGAATGGCAGGCCTTAGTGGGGTGGAGAAATTGTGTGCCTGGCTGCATTTTGGATAAGTTTCAATAAAATTTTTTAGTCTAATCCATGCTCCTGTGTCTTTTGAACTTCAACATGAACCAAATCAACTTATTTTATTCCATTATTGCTTCAATGTGTTGTTAAGACTGTCTGTATATAGTAAATAATCTGAAGTGGACTGGATTGTTAGCATATATGTATGTTTATTCAGGAAATGGCTACGTGAGAAGATCTCTAGTATTGACAACTTGCAGCATAAAAATTGCATGGTTTTTACTTGCTTTGACAGCTGCCCTGAGGTGAAAATCTTGGCTTCCTGGAGTCCTAGACATGTCAACTAATAGTGTGTCTGCAGGTGGAATCTAGGTAGCACCACAGATTTGACCAGAATAACTCTGTGTTGCTGCATCTCCTGCTTATTTTCCTGCCCTAATGGTACAATGCTTCCGATAAACTTTTAACTTGGTTGTACTTCAGTCATTAGCAGTGCAGGTGAAGGTGGCTTTACAATCTCATTCTAAAATAATGGGTTTTATTTAAACTTTCAGAGTTGCTTCTGATTTTTCTGAGATGGTGCATATTTTTCTTTCTATCCTAAAAAGCATCTGATCACCTATGGACTCTAAACATCACACTGGTGGATGGTGGAAACATATTGGCCTTCCACTGAAGGGGGTAGGGATGTTGAGAGTTCTGACTTTTCCTCCTTCTTCCACACTGATACATGAAATGACAATAATGCTTGCTTTTTCCAACAGTTTTTTCTGCTCTCTAGGCTGAAACTGCAGTGCATGGCGAGGGGAACAAGTGGTAGTGGAGCAAAAGAAGATTGAGTGCTGTCAAGGACCTGTAGCAGATTTAGAAATGATGCAGTTCTAGAGAGGTTTGACTTGTGCTGCAGTTGAGAGGTAATGGCCAGCTATAATCAGTGCCCAAAGTGATGCTTTGGGACCATTGGCGTGTGCATCTCGCTAACTAGTTAGTGTAATACAGTTCTGGGCCAGTAGAACAAAGGTGGAAGAGGCAATGCATTTGAGAACTGGGATGCTAAAAAAACCCCAGGAGTTTGATGAGGCCATCTTCTTTAGAAAGTGAGTCATTAAACAGCTCAGAAGTACCATAAAAGCTTACCTTTAGAGACCACTTTTTATAATCATGAGAGGAAATGGGCGTTCTGTAGCTGGAAACGGACTGTGTGGTTTTGTTAATGTGGCTGATCTCAAAGATTGCTGCTTTTTCTGCCTTTGAGAAGGGGCTGTGGTGTATTTAAAAACTACTTTGGAATAGCTAGAAATAATTGAGGGAGTTTTCTGATGAGCTAAGCACGGGGCAAGATAGTAAATCTAATTGGATTGATCGAGGTAATGGTTTGTGTTATCTGCAATTCACTGGAAGCTCCTGTCTTCAAACCGTTCTAGTGTTCAGCACGGAGTGTGCTGCTTGACAGTGGTGCTTCATAGTCATTCCTGCCCTTAAGCTTTTAACAGAGATGCTTTGTAAGCACGTGCTCCTCAGGGGCAGAACTGCTGAGTCCTGGATTGGTGCTTGTGCAAGTAACCTTCATTAATCCCATGGCTGGTGACGTCTGTGTGGTTGAGTGTACATGTGCAACTATGTGATTAACATATGCATTCAGATAGGAGGGTAAGAACAAGTTAAAACCAACAGTGTCTGGCAAATAAGATGAGATAGTGGCTTTAGGAAAAAAATGTAGGTGCTTTTATGGTCACAGCTATTGGATATCTCACTAAATGTCCAGCAAGGCGTATTCTGAGCCCTGTTAAAAATGTGTAAAAGCAAGTGTAACAGTGATTGTTCTTAGCCTGTATTCCTGACAAACCAAAGCAGAAGTTTTAGAAGTATTGAAACAAGTCAATTGCTCAACTTCTAAACATTGAGAACATCCAAAGAAAATCAGGTGCTTGCTTTGCTGATGATTGTTTGGATATGCTGCTCGTGGCATCAGATTATGCCAGATCCTGGCATCTTCTAGCCAAACCTCGTCAGGAGAAACAAACAGTCTGTAGCATTCCTTTATGGTTAATTGCAATGGTTTCTGATAGTCTGTTTGAGAAGCTATTCAGTCTATAACAGAAAATCACTTATGCTGAAAACAGGTTCTTACAAGAAGGTAAAATTTGACGTGCTTTCGTCTGCTTTGAGAAATTAATACTCACAAAGGAGATAGAAAAGTGCTGGTGCTTTGTTTCTGTATTGGACCTTGATGTTTACTGCTTTCTCATGCTGAAAAGGTTTAATTATCAGATTCAGACCGCTGCTCAACTCATTCCACACCAGCACTTTGAACTTCATCAAGGGGACTAGAGTTAACAGCAGAACAAAGAACAAGCCCGGGCTCTTGAGTAAGCAGTTACGTATTTTCATTTTCTATATTGCTTTTTCTCTGACGAATAGAGAATGACTTTCACTGCACATAATCTATTCCATTTCAAAGCTTGGATCTTGACCATGCCCATAAAATGAATTTAAGCACAGTGGTTTATTGTTCTGGATTAATGGTGCCACTTTTATCACAGATAATAACGTGAAAAAGACGTATATGTAGTTTGTATTTCTAGGTCAGGAGCACGTACAGTTATTAAAATATTCTCTTGTCAGTTGATAACTGTGCGTGTCTTTCAGCCATTATTCTTAAAAGTAGGCTAATATCTACTTAAGAAAACCAATTACTGTCATTATGGGGAGAAAAAATAATCAGTGTGATGGGACTCTACAGTGGCCCTTGGTTTGTCCTGCAAACGAAGCCCTGAATCCTCGTTCTTCCAGGTGTACATGCAGATTTTGGTGTGCTGCTACAATCTGGTTTTTGATCACCTCACAATAGTGTCAAGTTTTGTCTTCTGGAGTAACTGTTGGGAAATGGAAGCACTTTCAGTCTTGCTTCATCTTGACCTTTTCTCCCAGTGGGATTTGGTTTTCATGTGGAACTTTAGATACAAGTTTTGAATTGGAGGCAGTTAAATCTGGTTTGTTAAATCGCTTCCAAATACTTTCTTCCATCTCTCCAGGAAATAGTAAAAGAAAAAATACCATAGAGTAATAAATGCATATATGTAGTTATTCTGAATCAGTAGGATATTGGTCCATAAGCAGACTACATCCCTTAAACTGTAGCACAGACCGGGTGAGAGCCTTTGTTAACAAAGCTGTTAGTAAATCCGCTGTTGGGTATTGCAAAACTTCAGCAAACACAGGATGCAGGTTTTGGGGTAGAATGTTGAATTCTAAACCAAATTGTCTTCGACCAGTTGGTAGAATGTCCCTGGATGTATAAGCTTATGCGTGCTCAAGTGTGAAAGTGCCATTTACTCTATTATCACTGCTTTCCGGAATGAAATAGATACTAAGGGTGACAAGGCTGTTATGGTATTTCTTCTTGTATTTCACATACTGCTTTATGAAACCAGCTGAGTTGGGTTTGGGTTTGGTTGGTTGGTTTCTGCAGAAAAAGAGATTTTCAAAGCTTATATGAGTGAATCTTTGTATCTTTATAACAAGTGAACAACAGGCGTCACCCGTTTCAGTGTCTGTGTGGGACTGGACTTGGTTTTGGTGGTCCACTCTGGTTTGGTCATGTGGGGAGCTGGAAGTTTACACACCAAGACCCCAGGCAGCGGAGCTCTGCAGCCTTCTCACAGAAGCACGTACCTCCTTTCCTTCCAAACAGGGACGTATTCCAGCCCTCTTCCTGCAGATGTTAGTATCTGACTGGAATGTAGAAGCTGCCGGTACCATCAGGGAAAACTATCTCAGCACACTTACGTGAAGCTGCCAGCGGTGTGTTTCCTTACGTAGAGTGTTCTCTGGGCTGAGTGAAGCTCTAGCTGGCAGCGTAACCAGGGTGTTGAGCGACACGTTCAACCTCGTTAGTCTTCATGCAGCTTACGTTATTCATACCTTGCTCTCCTTTTATTCGGTACTTGGGAAACCATCCCCTCCACAGCTTGCTCTGCTCTGCTTTGAGTCCGGTGGCTGCTCCCAGCGAGGAGCAGGGTCACTGGGGTGCTGCTGTTGCAGTTGGGTTGGCAGCAGGGGGTTGCTGTCTGTGCCGTGGCTGTGCTGCGGTGCCATGACGCGCCCGGTGGGGTTAAGGCAGGCGGCGGAGCGGCCCGAAGCGGCAGCCCAGAGGTGATGGTGCCTGGCGATGGGCTCAGACCCGTCCTCACTGCCCCCCCCCCCGCCATGGCCGTGGCGTCACTCGTGGGCTGGCGCCCCCTGCAGGGCACGCGCGTCGTTGCACTTTGTTTTGAAATGATGTCACGGGCCTCGCCGCGTGACGCCAGGCCCCTGCTGGTGATGTCAGCCGCACTCCAACCAATCAGAGCGGGGAAGGTTGGGGCGATGACGTAAACGCCCCTAGCAACAGGCTCCGTCGGAGCTTCCCAATCAGAAAATAGCTGGGGGCGGCAAGGAGCCAATGGGAGCCGGCGAAGGAGGAAGGCGGCGGGAGGCAGGCCTCCCTCAGCCTCCCGCCGATAAGATGGCGGCGGGGTTGGCGATGGTGGAAACAGCGGCTTTGTCTGCTCCCAGCGCCTGAGCCCGGTCCCGGCCCGGCCGCACCGAGCAGCGGCAGCGGAGACATGACTGCAGAGCCCGTGAGGTACGGCCCGAGGCCCGCCTCTGCCGGCCGGCGGGGGCAGCGGCCACCGTTGCTGGCGGGCGGCCTCCGCTGCTGCACCGCACGGCCCGGCCCGCGGCGGGGGTGGGGCGGGGACGGGCCCGGGTGGTGGCGGGCGCTGCCGGCGGGAGCCCGGGTGGGCAGCGCTGCAGGGGGAGGGCACGGCGGGGGGCTCCGCTCCGCTTGTGTGGCCGCGGCCCGAGCGGCAGCTGCAAGCGTTCGCCTCTTCCCGGGCACTGCGGGGTCGGGCCCGCTCCTGGGGGACGGGTGGGGCTGGGCCGCGCCGTCCCGTCCCGGTGGAAAGCGAAGGGAAGGCCTGGAGGGGCGGGGCCGCTATCGCCCCCCGCCATCGGCCGCCGAGCCCCGCCGCGGTCGGTGTCCTCCGGCTGCCCGCCGCGGCCACACGTGTCTGTGCTGTAGTAAAGTCCTTTGCGTCCCGCTGAGCCCCCTGCGAGGGATGTGTTCTCACGCTGGTTTACAAACGCCTCCCTCTCCCCTCGGAGCGCTGGCTCCTGCCGCCGTGGTTATTAGGAACGGCTCCTGTTCTGCTGCGTAAAGTGAGTAAGCTGACAAAAACCCCAAATAAAGTCGGCGTTAAGGAAGACGCCATATTAAACTATTTATCAATAGTTGACTTTGTATGCTTTCGCTTTATCCATGTTTTAAGGGGTCTAATCAACACAGTCCGTCACCGACAAATATTCCTGATGCCTAAGGCGCTGTATAAACAATAAAGCATTGTCACTTGACCCTCGCGAATGTCTCATGTATCTTCAACAACAAACAGTATTAAGAAAGGGTAGCGTCACGCTGGCTTAGGTACTGGGCCTAAGATGAAGTTTTTCCGGTGGTCATGTTTGTGTATCTTCACCACCCAGTTTTAGATTGATTTTTGTGTCGTTGGTAGCTACTATTTAGTTTCAGTTAAAGCGGGGGGGGGGGGTTAGTTTTTCCTCCTCTTGGGTATTGCTTGATTTTAAAGCCTTAATGTTTCTCAGGAAGTAATGCATGTGTAATCTAACAAAACGATTTTACAAAAGATTATCATCATTATTGATGTTGATCACATGCTGTGTGTAAGCCATGGGTATTGCAAATACACGTTATCTGCTGTGTGACTTTCCAAGTTTGCACTTTCTTCTGCATGTGTTTTGTTTTCCTTATTTTGTAAAACAGGGATTGCACCTCTCCCCTTTCTCACTCCCACTTTCTCCTCTCTGGGTTCTTAAAGTACTTTGACAGCCTGAACCACTTTTGTGTTGGATCGATTATTTTGTGTGTAGACTGAAATACTAATTAAGGGGCTTTCTCCTCCTTCTTCCCCAGTCTCGGAACGGCAAGAATACAGTTTGAGTTTTGTACAGCAAACACATCTGGCTTACTACTACTTATTGACTGTTTTATGGTCATAATTAGTATTGCATAGTCTGAATAATGCTCTTCCATTTGGACCACTCTGTGGTTTATTTTACAGTGACGGTTGTATTTTGTTCCCTGTTTTTCCATATTCTGCTTTGTCTCTTTTTGAGCCACTTGTTCCTGGGCTGCATGATGAAGGTTTGGTACTTAACTCTTTCACTATTCTTATGTTGTCATTAGTGCAACAATTAGTGATCCTACTAAGGGGCTGCTTTAGTTGGTGCCTCAGTGGAAGAGGATACAGAAGCTCATACAATTTCCATGCAGTTTTTCAGCTTGCCTGCAGACAGAAAGGTAAATTGGATTATTTCAGTTGATTTGTAGTTGTGAACATGAAAAAGTATGTACAAAATCCGTCTGAGATTGTGTGTAGTCTTTGGGTTGGATCTGTCCCACCTAATAGCAGGCCCTGTGGCAAACTACTGCTGAGTAGATGGACATAATACTTTTTTTTTTGGTGCTCCAGACTTTTGTTCATGAACTCAGTTCTCATTCAGAGTGGTTTTTATCATTCTCATCATATTAGAGTTCATCTTGAGCAGTCTGTTTTTATTTCACAGGAACAGTTCCATCCCAGGAACTAGGCATGACATTGTAGGGTACCACAGCTTCAGGGTTAGAAGCTGATGAACTCATTGCATGGGCTTTTCCTTATATTCTGTGTTAATTTCATTTCTACTTAAATTAAGAATAGGAGAGAATGGGAAGGAGAAGAAAACCACATGCATCCTCTCCCTCTCTCTTTTGTTCCCATTCCCCACAAGTCCTGTTGGCCTGTCAGCTGCCTGTGTTGCTGTCGCCCTGCACAGTTGCCCTCCATGTTCATTTCGTCTGCTGCTATCTGCAGTTTTGCTGCTGTAAGACTTGTACAGAAATAAACTTGGGAGGTTGTTGTTGTTAGAATTCTTTGGAAGACAGACAAACAATAGAATTCTGATGGAAAAATCTTTTCCCAGTACTTCTGGAAGGATAAACTTACAGTGTTTAGAAGGAAAATAATCAATACTAGTCTGCTGGCTATGAAGTTTTAAGCTTTTGCTATAAGGAGTTCTTTTGTTTAACATTAAAAGCTTAGGATGAGAAGTTTGGAATGGTGAAAAACACAATGAAAACTGGAATAACTGTGAAACTTCAAAATGAAATGTGGCCTCTGTAAATGTTTATAAAGATTTCGCTGCTACTTTTGCCCCAAGAACTTGATTATTATTTTTTTTTTAATTAAAGTGAAGGAATCTTTGCCATGGTGCCCTGACCTCGTCCTGCCACTCAGTCCATACAGTGTAAAAATCAGCACAATGATAGAACAGTTTGGATGTTACTCACCTGATCCTGTAGTTAGTGTAGTGAGAGTACATTTAACTTGGCAAAATAAACTTCTTTTTTTTTTGATTCAGACTTTTCACCTTTCAGTATGATAGTTTGAAACCTTGCTCTTAACATTTTGCTTAAATTTTCTGCATGTGATTGTATAGAGTTGTTTGAGGCATGTTATCCGATGCCACAATAGTCAACTTGGAAGTAAGTTAATAGCAGTCTTAAACCGGAGCTTCAGAGAACGTGGAAGTTTGTTGTCTTTCACACAGTCATGTGGAATGGGCACAAGCAGATTTTTTGACTCATCCCCTAGGAAAAGCAAAACTTCAGGCTGTCAGGATGTGCCCCAGAGCCAATGTGTTTACACTGCTTAAATGAAGTTCTCAGAGAGAAACTTGCAGCAGTGACTTCAGTATTTCTGTTTTAGTACAGTCCTGGCTCTGTTAAGCTTTTTCTAAACTTTGTGTCAGGGTCTGTGTAGGGCTTAACTGATGGTATCTTCGTTGCCTATGAAGTAATTTGCTGTGACACAGAGTGTATAATGAAACTTCTGCAGTAGGATGGCCTGAACCTCGTGGAAATGTGAAATTTCTGGTGCTGTTATACATGAGCACCTGCTTGAAGGGAGGAAAAGTTAGTGCTTTTTGCATGGATATACCTCACCAAAAGCAAATACCAGAAATGATACTACAATGTGCTGTGTTCACCTTAAAAACAAATACCTGCAGCCTGTGACAGGCACGTTTTTAGACTGGATCACTAGATGTGCCTTCTATAAACGGGGAAGCCTCAGAAACTGCTGAACCTCATGAAATCCCATTTCGTCTCACTGGAGCTCAGCCTGTGCCTGCAGGTGATCTGGAAACATGGATCAGTTCACGGATAGGTCAGCGGCAAGTTGTTCCACTTAGGAGGAGGAAGAAGAAATTGTAGAAATTCAGTGGCAAGTACAGTGGAAAGTTTTACTTTGGCTTTAGAAGATGCTATGTAAAGTGTCCTGATTTGCTAAAGGAAGATAAAGCTTTCATGTTTTGTTATCACATGTAGCCACCAGGCAGTTGTCATTTCAGGATGGATGACGGATTGATGTTGATTTTTTTTCTTTGTTTTCTTTTTTTCTTTAGAAAAGGAGTAAAATCTTCAAAGAATCAAGAATTTGATGACATGGGTGTGATTACTTCAGTGCTATTTAGGCAGTGCAGTTACAGGTCTGAAAGCTGCACAGTTACAGAAATTTCTATCCTAGTAGGTCCAAGTGTAAGTCTTAATAGGTTCAGCTGTAGGAACCATGTTGGGCAAATACATCCATCATGTAAAACAGAATCAAAAAACCAGGCAGAAGATTCAGGACTGACAGTGGGGCAAAACGGGATATATCTATCTATCTATCTGTCTATCTATCTATATATATATATATGTGAAATGTTTATACTTCAGGTGCACCACAGCTCTTCAAACCTGTAGCAAACCTGATTGGGAATATGTGGGAGACTTGAAGGAACACACTTTAATTCTTAGGCAGGGTTTGTAATGAGTGATGTCTCATTGAAAATCTGTGAAAAACTCCAGGAAGCAAAAGGCAAAGGAAGTAACAGGGCAGTTTTAGAGTTGGAGGGGCATGATGCTGTTGGATGTGGATACAATTTTGTTTTCTGTTTTATGTATGCTAGTTTGAGCTTTCTTTCCTGAATTAGCATGATAAGGTATTCAGTTTGCCATGAGTTTTGGCTCATAAAGGTGAATATACTATATATAGTTTTTCAAACGGTTGACTTCAGTCTTTTTCAGATTGCAAATTATTTTGCCATTGAAGTTAGAAGACTTCTGTGTACATTGAAGGCAGCCTAACAGTGAGATTGTTTTTTGGTTTTTTAGGCTTCCATTAAAGAAACAGGTTAAAAAGCCAAAAAATTTACCAGTTTTTATTGAAGCATGATAGCTATCAGCTAGAGCCTGCTATGGTTGTTTGGATACCCTCTCAACAAAAAGAAACTGTGTAATCTTCCTTGAACAGAATAAAGGGTCTCTCAGTGACTTTGAACCATTGCTTTCTCATTTCCCATGTGTGTCTGGAGGAAAATAATTCTGTTTACTTGTCTGAACCTGTTACACTGCACTTAAGCTCCAAAGTTACTTCATCCTTATCATCGAGTGTCTTCAACTGTACAAGGTACCACTTGATTAAGCCCCTGGGATTTCAGGTCTGTTCTAAACAAAGTAAAAGAGTGAATCTGTGTTAACGAAGTCTTAAGTGTAGAATCTCTTGAGTTTGATGAAGTGCTAGATGCCAGCATCCCTTTTCAGTCAGAGCTTTGGTGTTCAGGTATTTTGTGGCTGTATCAGATTTTTCAGAGCTTTCTTACTCTGAGCATGGTCAGACCCTGGAACAGGTCACCCATAGAGGTTGTGGAGGAACTAGGAGAGTGACTGAACATACTTCTGGGTGCCTGCCTGTAGCTATTGCTGCTTGTGCTGGGGGTTGGAGTAAGGTTCCTTCCAACCTGAATGATTCTGTGGTTCTTGGTGTCATTTGCCCGAGTACCTCTTAATTCTGCTGACAGTTCAAGCACACATGGCATATTGCTGTTGCTGAAGTTACGGTCTCTTCACCCCCAGATCAGTGTCATCACCTCTGCTTGCAGAAACATTCATGCCAGTGAGTAGTGAGCTGAGATAGGGAAATCACCTGGATTCAGTAAATGGCTGCTTCTAATGTGGATCAGCTTCTGTTCATAGGTTAGACAAATCCTTGTCCTGACGTAGACAAAGGGGAGAACTGGCATCAGGGGTGTGTGTGTATGTTGACAAAGGGGGTTTTGCATCCTTGGACAGTAGAGCTGGTTAATGCCAACTTGAACAGGCTGTGTGAATCCTCATGGTAAAGCCTCCCTTCTTTTGGAGTAATTGGTATATCAGTGTAAGTAAGTTACAAAATACTGATCTGATTTAGACTATACAGTGTCACTGTGTTTTGCTCTTGGAAAATAGTTGTTTTGTTAAAATCCAAGCTAAGGTAGAAGTGTGTTTCCCCACCTTTATAAAGCCATATTCTTGTTCAACTGATAAAATCTTAGTGATTTGATTTTCTGGTTATATATTTTTAATGAGAGAAGTAAGGTTTTTAGGATATTCCAGGTATGTTCATACCTTTTTTTTTGATTATGGATAAGAAAATGAACAACTTCCACTGTAGGTTTTATCATTTTTCACTCTTTCCAGCAGTCTTAAGCTATTTCATTCATAGGTGTTCAGCCACAAAATTGACATGAAATTTGCATGAAATGACTAAGTTCTGCCCTTGTAACTGACATCTTTGAATAGGGTTAAGTCCAACACTTTTCCTTCTCATCAGGGAGAACTGGGATGAAGATTTGCAGATGGCAGAATTCTGGCCTGGTTATAGCAAGGTTTGGGTAGTGCATCTTCCCACTGTCATAATTAAAATAGTCCAGCTTTTGCTGTGGGTTGTTGGATTTCTGTCCTTTACAGTGGGATACAGCCTGAAGCAGAGGATGGTGGCTGCAGGCTGGCAGTTACTTGAAAGCACATTCAGTTTTGTTTTTCTTTATTTTTTTTTTCCAAAGGGCTGTTTAATTTTGTCTGCTCAATACTTGTTGTTCTGCAGTATTTCATTTCAGCCTCAGAAGAGAAAAGTGATTGGGACTTGAAGCAACTGTAAAGATGAATTTAAAAACCTTGTGCTCTTGAACTGTTGTAAGTTCAAACATAGACAAAATTCAGACTGTTATAGAACTTCAGGTGAATTCTTAGGAAGAATTTTGCAGAGGTGTCTTTGTTAACATTGAGGTGGATGAAAAGCTGGAAAGCTCCTGTTCCACTGACTTTCAGGAGCCACTTGAAATTCAGGTGAGGGGCGCTTATTTAGACTAAAAGTTGGTAGGAGCCTCTTGAAGAATGAGAACTTCATTTGTTTAAAGAAAACAGACTTGAAAGTAACTGGGACATTCCCACCTACATTTTTGAAGTGTCTGAAGAAAGTATATAGAAACTGAGCATGATAACAAGGTTTTATCCGGTGCAGTTTCACAGTATAACCCACAGCATGACCTGGATTTGCCACTGAAATGAGTGGTCCTGATTTTTCCCCTACCTTTTTCCCCTCCCCTCACCTGCCGTCAGGGAGAGTGGTCATGTAAATGTGTGGCAAATTGGAAGCCAAATGAAAACTGTTTCTTAAGATTTTATTTGTCTGTGGTTTGACTCACGTGGCTCGTACCATGCTTCTGCAAACACAAGTGATGAGCTAAGGTGGTGGGTTGACCTGCCTGGATGCCAGGTGCCCATCCAGCCACTCTTTATCACCCCCCTCATGAGCTTCTGACAGCTTCTTATAGAAGCCACCCCTGTAGCCTCTCCATTATCAAAACTTCCCCTCACAAGCCCAGTACAGGTAAGCATATACAATGGGACAGCAGTCAACAGCCAGAGGGAATTAAGTGTGTTGTGTCTAGATTAGGACACCACGTGTTCCTTCATTTCCCTCTTACTGTATTCTATTGATTTGTAGAATCATTTGGCCTAACAGGAGGTTTGCCTCATGTGTATGTGTATTTTTATCCTAGTAAGGGCCAGGCATTTACCGTTTAAGATTATAGCTCTTGCTCTGAATTTAAGTAAGAAAGGGTGTTCTTACGAGATAGTTTCCCAAGGTCACAAATCAGGTTCATGGCCAAACCAATAATAGTAGGCCACCTTTCCTTTCATTCCTGTTTTAATTAGGCTGAACAGTGTTGAAATAGCTCTAGACTGAGGGTGAAGTCATTTGCTCAGAGCATGCAAGCCCCAAACCACTAATAAATAGCGTAGGGGTGTTGCTGTGTGGTAGAGGGAGGCTGTTTCCTTCACTTAACTGCTTCCAAGATGGGGCTACGTTTTTAGGCTCCTGTGCTTTAAAAGAAAATACACATTTTGTATGTTCTTATCACTTTAATAGTGGATGGGTCTGTTCGTTTACTGCAAAGAATAAGGATTTTACAGTAGAAGCTTTAAACAAGATGATTGAGAATATATTCTTAACTGTAAATGCATGACATGAAATTGCTTTTGTACAAAAGCAGGTAAAGCTTTGCCCTAAATTAAAATTTCTTTGTGGTGAAGTATAGTAATACCTTTACTTACATTTGACCTGATATTCCTTAATGCAGGCTTGAGGGTACAAAATGCTGAGTAATGGAGAGGAAAAGCAAGTTGAGAAGACTTTTTGCCATTAGTTTGTGTATTATTTTTTTGGCTGTTGTTTGTCAGCACAGACACTTTGCTCTGAAAACGGTAAGTTTAGGCTCCTTAGGTTAAGAGTTAATAAATGGTAATGATGTTGCAAGTGTTAGTCACAAAGACACGCATACTATTGTGGATTTGGTTTGTATTGAGGACAATAATACTATAACTCATCTGTAGTTCCCATTTTTCTAACTTGCTATTACCAAACCGAGTTATTTATAAACTAAGCAGAATTCCATATAAAGGGTGTTTTTGTTTTGTTTTTACTACCAAAACTGAACTTTCTTGTGGTCTTTCTTAGTGCGCCTTAATTCTTCCGACCATCTGGAATGAATATAAAATCTCTTTATGTACTTTTACCAACAGATAATTCTGAACAGTTCTTTAATATTTTTTTTAACTTAATGTGAATAAATGGTCATTAAAATCTCCTAAAGGAGAGCACACAATCTGTTAAAACTCAAGTATGCCATTACCATCTTCTGTAATGGTTTCCAAGTATGCCCTGCATCCGTGACAATAAGGGAAGCCCAGGTTCATATGCTGGGAGTTGTGTAGCAGCATGAGTCCAGCAATTAGAGGGAAGGACTTTCAGACAGATTGAGAGAAGAATTTTAAGATACACTTGAGAGTCAAGCAGGTTTTGTTACACTCTCCTTCCAAGTAGCTCAGGTGATTGATGGTACGTACGTGGTCTCAAAAGGAAAGAGTCCTTTACTCATGCAGAAAAATCTTCCCATTACAAAGTGTTGTTTTGTTTTATTTGGTGTACTTAAAGAGATTCAAAGAAATTACAGATTCTGTTTTTAATGGATGTTTTATGCTGCTTTATATGTGGTTATTTTCAGTGGTTTGAATCACATTTGCATTAATGTGATGGTGCCTTTAAGAGAGTGCTCACCTCCATGTCCTTCTGATAATACAAGTGGGGATTTTTTTCAGCAATAACAGCTAAGTAAAAAGTCTTAATAAATTGATGTGTTCAGAGTAGTAGAAGAGATGGTAAAGGTGAGTGGATTGAGCTGATAAATACTGAAGAGTTCCTACAACCCATAAAACAGGGACGGAAAATCTTACTCCTTCTTGCTGTCAAAAACTTACTTTGAAAATAATGGGGAGATCTGAAGGGAAAAGGATGGGAGGCTATATCCTTTAGCTGAGTTAGCTTATGGAGGAGGTGGTGTAGCTGAGCAGTTTGGAAACCCATGTCTCCCAGCAGAAGAGGTAGGGTGACTCAGATGTATTGGCTGGCGGATTTGAGAGGCTGGATGGTGTCCAGGACAGAAGTGGTGACAAACAGCTGAGAGGGTTAACTGGGTACAGGGGATCCAACAGGGTGACTGCCTTTGGCTCAGTCAGGGTGCTTGCAGCTAGGAAAAGGCACTTAGGAATTGTGGAAGCTTTGAGAGAAGAAAATCTGAAATGAACAATGTGAAATGAGAGGGCATAAGATGTAGGTTACGGAGTGATGCAGCTCTTTAACAAAAGCGTAGGATAAAGGTGTTGCCTTTTTACTGTAATGACTAACAGCCCCTGGTATCTAAAACTACCTATTGAAAATTCCCAGGATAATGTTTGTTATAACTTAATTCTGAATGCCCATACAAATGGATCAAGAAAGGATCTGATCCTACATGGTTGGGTTTTTGACAAGATTATGCAGGATATGCAGTGTGTATGTACGTGGCTGATATAATAGAAGCTTTGCATAAGCATGTAGATCTGTTGTACTCAATGGACCTGTTTGTTTCTGTGGTTGTTACTTCTAGCTATTCTCTTGCAGAAATAAATATATAAGGAATAAGTGAGTTTCTTTTGTAGGTGTGTATTAATTGAGATTAAATACAGTTTCTTTCAATTGTGCTAAATTAGCCCGAGATATATAGGTAACTTCAAGGTTTACTTGTGTTTTTGCAGTGAAAGCAAGTTGAATACGTTAGTGCAGAAACTTCATGACTTCTTGGCTCACTCATCAGAAGAATCTGAGGACACAAACTCTCCTCCAGCATTATCTAAAACCAAAACCACAGGTAAAAAGACATTTTATGGTTTTCTTTTCAATGTAGATATGATCCTAAAGTCAAATAACTTTGTGATGTTATTTCACTAGATCGCACTGCACTGAGGCAATTACGCAAAGGCTTAATGTAATTTAAGTGGTGGTATCTTAACAAATATACAATAGGCCTTTGATACAAAAGATCTGAATCTTTTTCTAAACATTAAAAGAAGCTAATCTTTATGGTAATTCACTTTCAGTGGAGCATGAGATGGCAAACATGCATGTATTTGCTGCACTAGGGGTTCCTGGTTGAGTTTTCCTTGATGTGTAAGTGCCGTATCTTGTTTCTTCTGCTGCAGAAACTTACAAGGACTTCTGCAGTCTTTGTAGGACTGAATAATCTGCAGAAGTCCTTGTAGTTGTGGAAGAAGTTATGGAGATGATGTTTTCATAATTATTTGAAAAAGGTTTCTGTGTGTCATCTGGAAACATTTGGAACCAGAACAATACTACTATAAAAGCTCGAGTCCTATTGCAAGGTCAGATTTGGTGTTAGAAATCTTTACTTGGAAGTTAGAAATTTAAAACGGGTCGTTTTGATTACAGTCATAAAAAGTGAAATTATTTTGTAACAGCACCGAATAAAATCTGTTTCCAAATTTAATTAGGTTAAATCTGTTTCCTAGTTAAACTGGGACTGGATGCAGGTTCAAAGCCTTGCACTCTACTGTCTAATGAGGTAAAAGTTATGCTGAATTGCTAGAGTACAGGAGAAGGAGAATGCTTTGGTTGTGTGAGTGAATTTTGAATGAATTACTCAGTGAATTCCTGAGTGAATTTTGGAACTCTTGTTGTCCTAAGTGATAAATTTACACAGGTTTTCTGGGGTGCAGTTGTTATCTTTAGTGTTTTGTCTTGAGAGAGAGTCTGCTGCCATGTGGTGCCAACCTCCTCGTGTCAGCATCAAACTGAACCGTTAGCGTAGGAAAAAGAAATTAATTCATGTGGTACTTCAGCAGCACAATAATCTAAACTGTGATGTAGGTGCACCTCAGAGTGGAATTTGGTGAGGAACATGCTGGGAAAAAGGAATCTTTTCCCTTTATCCTGTGTAGTTATTAAGCAGTTTGGCTCCTTCGCTTAAAAAGCAGATTTACTTTGAAACAGGAGTACACTCAGTAATCAGTAGCAGGCATGTTTCAGTGTTGGTTTTGAGACCTCAGATTTTATTTCTTAAAAAGGAATGTGTTAAAAAGTCAAGAATTAAACACTTCAGTATTAGGAAATGCCAGAATTAACCCTGCAAATCTACTTCCCCTCCCAATTTCCTGTGCATAATGAAAGTGCCTTTAGCAACTGTCCTATGTTTTTTTTTAATCCACATGATGTTCATTGAGTGTAAAAGTGATAGACATGATTGGGGCCAAATCAGGTTTATATAGTAATGGATCTCATTTTGTTCTAGCATTTGGAGGTTATGTGAGCTACTGGATAGTGTTGTGAGGAGGGAGATGATGATGAAGATGTTTAAGTGTGGCTCAGGAGAGCTGGGACATGGCCCTGCCACAGACACAGGTCAATTAAAATATGAAGCAGTTGCTTGCTGAGTTACTTCCATCTTGTGCACTGCTGTGGTGCTGATTTGTACCATAATGCTGTGTGCAAGGAATAAGTAAAGTGAAATTGCACCAGAAACTTTCATTCTGGCTTTTCTTAATTCTTGAGTACTTGATTTTACAGCTTTACTAATGTTTCTTCACCTTTTCTGAGCAACCTGGTGTAGTGGAAGGTGTCGCTATGTGCGGTAGGGGGATTGGAGCTACGTGATGTTTAAGGTACCTTCAAACCCAAACCGTTGTGTTATTCTATGCTTCTGCTTTCAGATTGGGTGTTTCCCTCCTCTACATTGCATGCATGCCAGCAGGAGAATCACTGGGGAGCAGGAAGTCAGTCTCTCCTATGCTCTGTGTCAAGTGACCAGCCCCTGCCCTAGAGCAGCAGTGACAGGGAGCTCCTGTGCTCTAAAGCTCTGAAATGGATGGAGCATGTGAGCTGGGTCAGCACTAGGAGCTGGAAGGGGATGTGGCATCCTCAGCCCTTCTGGAAGGATGGAGCATCCACAGCCTGCTCACACGTAGAAACTGGAGCATGTTCAGTTGCTGTTGGAGGCAGTGCACATGAAGTCTGGTTAGGAGGTTGAATGCAGAGTCAACAGAGATTGGAGCTGCCAGTGTCAGAGATATCTCTGCCAAGCATGTACAGATTGGCATTTTCCATGGATTTGTCACTTGGACAAATTGGTTAAGAGTAGAAGGTGGGCAGCATCTAATCTCCAGAAGCAGTGTCACCCTTCTTACAAATTTCAGGCACGTTAATCAGAACAGGGGAATACCTATTCCAGAGGAGAAATTGAAGGTACTTAAAAGGCCCCAAATTTTTGTCTGTTTCCATTTTCTATTCCCCCTGCACCCCCCCCCCCCCCCCAGGCTTCACATGCTTAAGTGGCTGGATCATTTTGGCTGAAATTCACCCGAACAGTTGAGCCCAGGTCAATACCCAGCATCAGATTTTCAAATCAAAGTGGTTTATTTTTCTTTTTAAGTGTAAAAGAGAATGATTTGATTTTCCCAGAACTGAAGTTTAAGAATCATCCAGTAAATTGCAGTGCTTATGTTAAAGATACATATCCTGTGATTATACTACCACTTTACTTGCATGTTTCTCAGTAGTGCATCCATTAAAATACTGCTATTAATAAGCCTTTTGAGGAACTTTGTGCAAGTATCACTGAATCACTGAACTTAAAATCTTCCATCACCTGGACTGCAGATGGATCAGTTTTAGGTTACATGTCTTTAGGTTTTATATTCCACAGTTCCGAAGATGGAGAAATGGGAGTTCTGTGTCATACCCTGCATCAGATGGGATTTCTGTCTGTGGTTCCATGATCCCAGATTTAATATGTGGCTTTAATGTCAAGATTTGTAAGAGAGAATACTTAAAGCTACTTCTTAAAGATGAAAAGAAATGCACCAACTCTGTTATTTCTGCGTATACAGTTGCACTTTCATTTCTTCAGTATTTCTTCAGCAGTGACAAAGTTTCTTGGAGCATATTAGCAACTTAACTGAAAATTAAGACTGTGTTTTGTTGTACAACAGTTTGTCTTTATTCCTGCTGGTGAAATGTAAGCAATGCTGTGATGTACAGTGTGATGAACTTGTAGCATTTCTTGCATTTCAGTGGATTCCTTTAATTTCTCTCCATAGGTAAAAGTAGAGAACCTAACAGTAGTCCAGCATCAATGGAGAACAACAGAGAAGAGGTAGGAATAAAAATGCTTTTGAATTTTAGTTGCATGACTAATGAGAATGGCTGGCATAGGAAACGCTGAGTTGATTTTTGTTGCTTGTTCAATAAATACCTAAAGAGTATTGTCAGAACCATGCAGTAGATGTCATCCTCTCTGCTAACTGGAAACTTTAGCTGTGAAATGTTGCAAAAGAAATCCAAAATTCAGTTTTAAAGTTTGAATTATTCTCACTTTGATTCAAGCATATGCAGGCAAGCCTGTTCTCTCCCCCCTTCATTTCTAACTTATTGGAATACATGGATTTAGTTAGGCAACTTCATTTACTTTCTGATGCGCAGTAATTCCAGGGAATAATGTCTGTATCACAATTCAGAGAGTTGAGTTTTGCTCACCTGAGGGGTGCAGTTGCTCTTTGGGTAAGAAATGCCAAGTGTTATAATTGATTCAGATCACAAATATTGCAAAGTGAGTTTTTCTTTTTTAAAGAGGTTTGGTTTATTACTCTTTTATTCTGTTCTTTGGTTTATGTATAAACGGGCTCTATTTTTGGTTTAAAAGAACTGGTCTCTACCTCTTATTTACACTTGCACCCTGTTACTTGGATAACAAGGGGTATTAGGTGTCCTTTTAGGCAAATACGCTTCTTTTTTAAAAAAGACAAAAAGATGGAGATGCAGGATTTTTATTAAACATGAGCAGATTTCTTCTGTATGGTGTTACGTACATTAAAGGCATATTTTGTGGTATGTCTTACTAATACTACTGTCTTGTTGGAAACGTTCTGGGTGATAGTATGTTAACATATAGAGAAAGCACAAATACCGGTGTCCTGCCTTACTTTGTTTTTATTGCAGTAAATTCAGGTATTTATTTGGTACTGCTCAAACCTCGTTATATATTTGCACAGACCTTTGAAAAATCAGTTTTCGTGTCAAGACAGCAGCCCCTTCTGGCATATGAACCAGGTCACAAGTGTCTGCATTTGGCTGGCAGTTCTTGGGGCCATAGTAGTGATAGCTTCCTTCAGGAGCCTTTTGTATCTGCATGTCAGAAAAGATGATGGTTTCTTCACATAGCGTGAAAACCAGTCTTAGACCTGCATAAGCTTCTGCAGCACTAAGTGCTGTGAGGAATCCTGGTGAATTGTGTAGAAGTCAAAAAGCAGCATGGAGGCAGATGTGAGTAAGGCTGTTCTTCCATGTGCTAATCATGAAGTTAACATCGCAGCAAAGGTGCAGAGAACAGGAGGTCTCAAGACTGTTCAGGCTTAGGACCAGGCAGTGATCATGAGCTGTTCTCAGTTCCTTCTCCAGGACACTAAGGGAACTTTCAGCAGGTAGGGAACGTTGAGGATTGCAAGAAGTTCCTCAATTTCATGAAGACTCAGCGCTTGAGATACATGCAGTGTTTCTCTCTGAACATCTCAGCTTATGACAGTGCCCTCTGAGTTTAAGATACGTACATAGGGGGGGTTAGTGAGCATTAGTGACTTAGTGTTTAGTTACACCTGTTTTTTAAACTCCATAGATTTAGTTGAACTGAGCTGGCATGACTGTTGAAATTGTGTTTCACATTTGCTAATGCTTTTTCTGCCTTTGTTATTGTTGTAAAAGTGATGGTGGCTTCTGAGATGTGTTCTAGTTATGTCAGAAACTGGGTTTTGTTGACAGGTCACTTGGTCACAAATGTGTTGACTTTGGCATTTTTTTCTTGTTTTTAGGGCAGTAGTTCTTCAGAAAGAACCAAATCCTTGGGGTCATCACGTTCAAAAAGGTTGGTTTGGAAAATAAAGCTACTACTCTTAGGCATGTGCAACTGTAGAAAAGTCTGTGTGTTGTGGCAGTGACTTTTAATATAGACCAGTATAAATCCGTTAAGTTAGCAGAGTGTTGGCAAAACAAATGCCTCATAGTGCACTTAAAATGCAAATCATCTTTCAGGGTCAGGATCACAAAGCTTGAGTTTTACTAACAAAGCCAGCAGGATTATTCTGTATCTTCAGGACAAAGATGTTTGTACAATTGTTCCTTCACTCCTGCTATTTCTATGCAGGATTCTTCCAAAAATTTAAATTGGGTCATAGGGAAAAGAGGCTTTTTCTGTACCTCACTGTTGGGAGACTGTAGAATAAGAGTGTGCTATGAAGTTGTCCTGTGCAGAAACTGCCGTTTGTTGTCTCTCTGCTTAATCCCTTTTGGCTCTTTGATTTTACCAAAGTATGGAGTTCACTGCTTACCAACCAGTTTGAACCTACAGGAGGCAAACTGTGTGTGTGATCTAAGTAATAGCAGACTCATTGTAGTAGAACTCCTTCTCTTCTTTTGCTCTCGGATGATGCTCATTCATGTTATGTCCTTCATGATTTTTTTAATCCTAGTCTCCTGTATAGATAGGTGAGCTCTTCTAGTGCATGATTTCAACAGCTGCCATATTACTGCTCTTTACAAGAGTGTATCTCTCTTCACACTCCTTTTTATCCTAGTTTATTATTTTATGTATACTGGAATTGAATAATATTCTTTCTCCCTTTTTTGTTTGTGTTGATTCCATATTTGCACCCGTGGTTCTATGTATGCCTTCAATTTCCACCTCATCTTCAGAACCCAGTGTCCTGCTGAACCCTTTTTCACCTACATGATTCTTTATCGTTTTTGCGGTCTCGTTTGGTTTTTTTTTTCTGCTTCCTCTCTATCAGTAAAGGTATTCCCCACTCATACACTTACCGTACTGTGCCTGAGACTGACAAAAGCAGTATCCCGCAGTAGTTGATGTATTACCTTCGGACCACTGAAAGTTATGCTCAACATAGTTTTTTCTTTCTTCTTTTTTCCTTCCCTCCCTGCCCTGACATTGTAAATTCATCCATTTTAATGGATTCTTTCTGTTATGTTTGTGTGAAATTCTGGCAACTGGTCCTTTTATTCAACAGTCATTTCTTTGTGCATTTCGTTCATTTCCTTGCATCTTTTCTGCCAGGCTGCTTACTGTCATTTGCTAATACCTGTGTGTTCTGTTTGCACTGCTGTTAAACTTGAAATGATGTTTCTGAGCGGACATTTCACTTGTGTTTCATTTCAGCTTTTTCCCTAGAGGTGTGGTTTTCCTGCATTGCTTCTTAAAAACACAGCAGACCTTGATTTTCCCAGCAATATAATACAGCAAGCATGTGAAACAAAAGTACTTTGTTAGTGTATCATTTTATTTCACATAGGAGAGTTGAGTTCCTGTTCCTAACAAGAAAATTAGCCTACAACTGATTACAGTAATTCAGAGCATCCCACCTCATAATGTCTTAAATGAACTTAAAATGAACATAGGTTTCCCCAGTTAGAACGGTGCTTTGCTTGCAAAGCTCCAGGCTTATCTGCATTGCAATATGTCGTATTTGTCATGGTGTGGGGTTTTTTTTCTGTCTATGCAGGAAACCTACTGTTGTAACAAAATATGTTGGATCAGATGATGAAATCTTAGATGAAACTGCAAATGAAGATGTTTCAAATGAGAACTCGGAAAACGATGTTGATATGCAAAGCTTGCCTAAAGGTAGTTCATGTCTGTCTTTGTCTCTGAATTCAGCAAATTAGCCAAGATGATGATGCAGCATAATTGACTAGAATGTACATGGATTAGTAAAATACCTATCTTGGGTTCTGTATCTTTTATATAGAAACAGATGCTAGTGCACACACACATCCCCTGTGCATGTGCATGTGCAAGAGGAAATCGGGCCCCTTTAGTTTTGAGCCCAGCATGCTTCAGGCTGTGGGTACACCAGGATGTGCTGGTGGCTTTATTTCAGATGCCTGCTGACATCTGAATAAAACCAACATGAAACAGGGGAAGTAATTTATTTCAGTTCTTTTGTATGAGTCTCAAACTCTGTCACTCACAAATCTTATTTTACTGTAATTAGATCAACAAAAGCAAAACTAAATCAGGAGAGAAATGTCATTATTTGATCTATTTTTAAACACCCTATTAAAACAGTTAATGCTATAAGCCTACATCCCACTCTTCTTAACTACAGTGTGAGTTTGATTAATCTCTTCCATTTCTTACCTATGAATATTACAGGAAAACTTCATAGTTTTTATGAATACCACTGTGTACTGCATGAGTAGTGGTATTTAAAGCACTCACTTTAAAATTATCTTTTCAGAATGTTAGATTATTTCCAGTGTCCTCACAACAGAAGTGGTAAATCTGAGCTCTTAAGTAGGAAAGATGGTTTTTTGTTCAGTTTGAGTAGTATTTGTCTCTGTTTAAAAACAAAAGGCGATTTCTGGATTAAAGACAAAACAGGTCTGATTCTATTGCTTTTTCCTTGATTTCATGTGAAAATAAATTAAGATGAGGGAAACTGGATAGAAAGGGAAAAGAGAGAGAGAACAGTAGTTACTCTAAGGCTTTTGATGGATGTGACCTAACCAAAGTCCTTTATTTGTAGCACTGCACTGCAAATTCCTGTACTACACATACCAGCAGTATGACAGTCTTGTTCTGCACAACCACATCAGGGCAGAGAGAGCAGGATTTGCTCCTCACAGCCCGTTCAGTCTTTGGCTTATGTCCTGTGACTGCAAAACAGATGTAGATTGAAGTGTGTGGTGGTTTGGTTTTGGTTTATTGATTTATTTTGAATTTCTTTTTGCTGTGAACATCTGTGCATTCAAACTGAGTTTTAGTCAACAGATTGCACATTTTTTTTAAGTACTATGTTGGTCTTTATTTAAACAGGACTTTTGCACTTCATTTGGATGTGTAATGGTTTCCAATTTCTAAATAAAATCATTCTAGGTACAGTGGTTGTACAGCCTGAGCCAGTGCTGAATGAAGACAAAGATGATTTTAAAGGGCCTGAATTTAGAAGCAGAAATACCGTTAAAATGAAACCTGAAGCTCCCAAAAAGCGTGGAGGTAAATACAACTTAAAGCATTTATTTAAACGCGTTTCAGTTGTTGCTTATGACCACATTTGGTACATCTAAAAATCATTCCTATTTCTGATCAATTATCCTAAAAATACCTCCACTCTTCTGGCTTTTTGTTCAGTAAGGATTCTAGCTGACTGCAGTTAGCCTCCATTGCTGCCCCTGCAATGCAGCAGTGGAAGCTAAGATTAGTTCTCGTTAAACTTCATCTTTTCAGTAGCTATAGGATGCATCATTAGGTGCTCCATATGGCCCCTTCTTGCTTTGTATTCAGAGCAACTGCTTGGTTGCCATCAGGTGTTACAGGTATTCCTTTATTTTTTTTCAGGATTATGTCAGAACTCTATTAATACATTCAGGACCATTTACTAACTCACCAAGAAAGCAACCATATTTGAGCAGGATATAGGCATGTTATCAGTCAGTGAGCTAACAAGAAACCCCAAACCTCTTAACAATTCAGATACTTTTTTCTTCTTGTTTTTATATTGTGGGAAATTGTGTGGCCTTTCTAAGGATTAACTGAGAAGCTGCTGTGCCAGCTGGTTTTACCATAGCTGCTGCTAAAACCGAGGAGAAGTTAGGGAAATTATAGTGACAACACAAATTAATAGCTCATTTATTTTGCAAAATGTAAAGGAGAGGGAGGATTATCTATAAAGTAGCCTATAAGAAGGCAGATACTTCCTTTAATACTACTAATATCTGAGTTTACACATCTACAGTGTTACCCAGGATATTCAAACAGCTCTGGTACATGCTACGCCTTCTCCCCATTGTATCATTTGAGCTCTCTTTTAAAGTCTTACTATAATTTAGTAAGTGCTATTTCTCCATTTGTGATTGAACAGGAGTAAAATGTGACTGTGTGGAAATGTGCTTTTGCATACATACGGGCTTGTGCATGATTTTAATCACATTTTGAGCACTGATGTTTTCTGTCAGTTACTAATCTTTAAAGTCAGATCTGTTCTGTTCATGCAAGACATCCTATGCAGCATATAGAAGTGCTGTTTCCATTTGAATTTATAGTAATTTTAAAGAGGGCCAACAAAGATCTTCAGGGGTGTAGTGTTAAAAAGATAGGACCTGCCTGGGCTTTGTGGCCTGTGTCTGCATCCCCAGGGCACTTCATATGACCTGCCCTTCCAGCTTTTTTTCCTCCATCCCTAGAGAATTATCAGGCTTTCCTCTCTGTATCTGGACTGGTTACTCACATACTGGTGCCTGATGCAAGGTATTAGTTTTGAAAGCGACATCAAGAGTTTGTTTAAGGCATACCTTTATCCAGGGTAAGCTCAGTTGTATCTGTGTCACTGCAGATAATCTTTGGCTTGATTTTTTAAAGCTGTTCAAGTCCATGTGTTAAGCTCCTGTCAACGTTCAGGGAAGTGGGATAGGTACAGTCTCCTCCTGTGTTGTGCCTATTTCCAGACCAGAAGGGGTAGCCAGGCAAGGGACTCCGACTACCTCAAGAGCAGCTGGATTAGGAATGTGTCAGACCACTTTTACTTGGCAGCATGCACAGCAGAAGTAATGCAGATTCCTTTACACTTGTGTGCAGCAAGTCTGGTTGCATGAAATGGCACTTACCTTTCTCTTGCTGTTAGATCGAGGTGGCAAGCCTGTGCACAGGGCTAAGTGCTGCTGCTTTCAGCAGGTAAGCATGTAGTCCTAGCTACATGACATCCTGAATCCTAGGCACAGTGCAAGTAGATAAATAATAGAATAAAAAATGCCAGCCTGTCTTGTTCTTTGTGGAGTGCATCTCCACATTTTTACTAGGAGTTATGTGTCCTGTCTATATCGGAGATAGTAGTAAGAACTCTCACCTTTCTAGCATCCAGATGCTCTTATCCATGACTGTAAGAGGCATTGTGTCAGTCCTTATTTTCCTGTCATTTTTTTTCCTGGTGCCAATTTGCAGATTTTAGGAAGCCGGCAGTAGTGCTTCCCCTTAAAGTTGTAGAGAAGGGAATGTGACTTGGACTTGGCAGTGAACAGCTTGTTCTCCTTCGGTTGGCTGTTACCCTCTGATCCTTACACCCATTTAAGGACTGTGATGTTTGACAGAGCCTGGGTAGGTTTCTTAGCTGCTTAGTGTACTAGAATGTGATGTTCTTTTCCAAGTAGTATGATAGGATGGATGTGTTTATTTGAGGTTTGACAGCAGCATTTGAAACAGGCATTTGAGCTGGTTTTGAGGTCATGAGAGGTGCTTTGCAAGTCCTCAAGCTCTGCAGTGCATGCACTCATGCATGCATTGAAGTTGGAAACAACAAATCTTGTATTCCAAATTTCAGACTGCTATTTCCATGGAATTGTAAGGGTGTATTAGTTATTCTTACTGCTCTGTAACCTGTTTGAGATGGTGCTTCAATAGGAAATTGCTAGTAGCTCATGTTCATGGAATCATAGAATAGTTAGGGTTGGAAAGGACCTTAAGATCATCCAGATCCAACCCCCCTGCCATGGGCAGGGACATCATGCACTAAAGCATGTCACCCAAGACTGTCCAGCCTGGCCTTGAACACTGGCAAGGATGGGAGCATTCACAACATCCTTGTCAAAGGACAAGTCACAGTTAAGTGATCCCAAATTGAACCTTTATCTGCTTGATTCCAAATTAAGCTTGCGCAAGTGTATGAGCTGAGTGTATGAGCTTTCACGCATGATCTTCCTCTTCTTGAAAGCATCACTACTACAGAAAACAAAATGGTCTCATAGTGTTAATGAGTTGGCATGTAGCGAGCCTCCCAACATCAAGTTCACCACCTTTCAAAGCAAACTGGGGGATTGACATTAAAGGGAAGCTTTTCTGACCAAATGTGGATAGAGGAGCACAGCAGTACACAAAGTGTGGGAGTAATCAGGAAGATGGCAGAACTGTAGTTTCAGACAACCCCAAACAAACAGAAACAACCCCAAGCAAACAGAAACAACCCACCATCAAGAAGGAAACAAAAAACGGGAAAAAGATTTTTTTTTTCCAGGCACTACTAGAAGAATTTAATGCATTTTCTGTAATGATTTCTCATGTTTTTCTTTGAGAAACTAAAACTGGATGTGAAAGAAATACCATTAATACAAACATGAATTACAGTGGTGTTTTATGAGTAAAGGTTAAATGAGGAAGGTTGTACAAAATATCAGGGCTGCTTTGAAAGAGTTTTAGTGATGACTTCTTTAGGTGTGTTCTCATGAGGTGACCGGTTAATCCAAATTAAATCTCTCAAAGGAAAGAAGTTGTATCTTGGCCCCAAGTGGAGTGTAGAAATGAGAGGAAAATTCTTTCAGTCTGTAATCGGTAAGTGGTTACAGAGAGATTTTGGTAATGCTGGATGGTAAAGAAAAGGCATATGAAAAGCCTGACAGGCCAAAACACTGTAAGAAAATGAAATGGTTATATAGCGATTTCTTTAAGAAAATTAAAAACCAAAGCAATTAATGTGTGGTTTATAATCCTCTCTATAGAGGAAGGACTACATGGGATTGTAAGCTGTACAGCTTGTGGCCAACAGGTGAACCATTTTCAAAAGGATTCAATCTATAGACATCCTACACTGAAAGTTCTTATTTGTAAGGTATGTGGTAAACAGTTCTACAGTTTATTCCTGTTTGTTTGTGTCTGAAATGTCATATTAGCTTGGGTGGGATCTCTGTGGGAGTAGTTGTTGTTTATTAGCCAAAAAGCTTTTTAGTTGTTAACAGTTACAATTGAGGAAACTAAAAGCAGAAACCAGAAAGGCAAATGCAGCTTGCAAATTGATGTTCCTGTTTTCGTATACCCCAGATAAACTGATTGTGGTTTCTTTGTGATTTATTTTTATGGTTTTAAGTCTCATTTTAGTGTATTTTTTTAGTGTTAAATGAGCTATCTGAAATTTCTGCCTACTCATAATGTATTGTAAGAGCAGATTCAGTTCTGGATCTCAGAGTAAAGCATTTAATGTAAAACGACGTTGGAATAAAGAAGTGGGAAAGTAGCTTCCAAGCTTCATCAGTACAGCTCCTGGACTTTTTTGATTCCCAGCTGCCTGTGTAACAATGATCTAGTACTTAATCCCAAACCAGCATCTAGGTCTTCAGCTATATGGTTTCATGGTGGCTTCAGTTCACCCTAAGTTGCAATGGGAAGAGGTGGGGAACAGGAGGGGAAGTGACATCCCTATCTCCTGTTATGGGTACCTCTCAGTGTTCAAAGAGATGTAGAGAGATCTCTCTCTTGCTTATTTCTATAGTTGTAAAGATCCTGTATTTCTAAGGATACCTCGAAAGGTAGATCCAAATCTGCATTACAGTGCACATTTAGCATTCCCCTTCTCTTCCTGCTTCTCCCCAATTCCCAATTGATGTTTCATATTCAGCTGATATACTGTCTTAGACCTATCCATTTAGTCTGATGTTCTGGCTCATTTCTTCTGTTCATTCTGGCTTATTTCTTTTATAAAATACACTTCAGAATAATCAGCTCACAAGATGACTGTTTTCAGTCTTCAGTGGAGTCCCAGCTCTTTTTCCTGGACTTGGGAATCCTTAACATGTAGCTGCACGTGTTCTTGCATTACATGCAAGTTACCTGGTTCATTTGGGAAACCTATTTAGGGTGTTGAATTCAGTAGCAGCTCTCAACTGTGTGCTTTGCTAGAGAAATACATCATGTGTTGTGTCCCATAAATTTTCTGTATCTTAATTGAATATGGCCTTATGTTAATGTGAGAGAGAGCAGTGGAGATCCCTGATCTGCGTACTCCATGACGTCCATTGCTCTCTGTGCCTAGTTCTTCCCTTATTTTTCTCCTGCTCAGGTAAACAGGTCCAGACTTGAGAAGCTGTTTTCCTTTAACTGTAAATGCTGTGTCAAGTGTCCAAATGTCTATTTTTACTGGCCTTTTTTTTGTTTGCTCTTACTTGTTTGCTTAGTTTATTTGGACAGTTGTATAACTCTGCTCAGGATGAAGAGGCATCATAATTTTAAACTCAGGTGCTGAAGCCTCTTCTGGATACTGAATTCACTGGGGAAAAGGACAGAATTTAGCTAGTAGCTTGGGTTAATCCCTGTTCAAGTAGAGCTTCAAGTCTGGGAGAACCTGCTTTACTGGTAGCTGGAAGAAAAAAAACCCAAACCTTAAATTTGGTTTAAAGAATTTAGCAACTGAAGCCACTGCTGTGATAGCCAAGTTGTGTGTATTTTTCTTACTATTACCACTTTGTCAGTGAAAATGCTTAATTTGTACCTGGTAATTGAAGCCTTGGATGTTAACATCAGAATAAATCCTGAAGACCTTTTTATTTAAAGACTTAGGCGATCAGTTGCTAACATAAGGGGCACACAGCTGAAAACCGTAATTTATGTGGGATTAGTTGTGTCAGAGAAGGTGTGGTGTCAATTTACCTGGGAAATAGATGGCAAAAGATTTGAAGACAAACATTCAGTCGATATTCTAAAGCATGCAAATGTGCAGCCATCAAACAAAAACCTACATGATTTTTAAATACCTTGAGGCATCTAAATAAAAAGCCACAGTTTAGGATCGCTTGTGTCTGTGGAAGGTGTTTGTTAGATTAGCATGAATGTAGAAGGGTTAGAATGCTGAACACCTTGCAGCTGCTGCTTCTAAGACTTGCTTCTAAGACACGCAGAAACCATGCATTACTGAAATGTACTAAAAAGGTTCCTTGACATACCTCTTTTCTTTACAGACTTGCTACAAATATTACATGAGCGATGACATTAGCCGTGACTCTGATGGAATGGATGAGCAGTGTAGGTGAGTGCGCAAAACCCCATGGCTCTTCTCAAGAAACTATTTACAGATGTAGACCAGTACCTAAGAGTTTAATCAACAATTGTTTCTCTTCAAGAAATGCTTAACCAACCGCAGGGGTTTTGTCAATATTTTATTGCTGTTCTGGTAATTAAGTGCAAAGCATTTTATAAAGAAACCCAATAGCAAATGCTTGTAAGACATCACATTTCTGATTAAATGGCGTTGCCACCTTACAAATGCTTCCAGGGTGGGTATGAGTGAGCTTGTGAGACACATCTCAGGTCTTCATCAAAGAGTATGCAAGCTAGACACAGATCCGAAACCATTTATTTTTTCCTGTGTCTGCAGTAGTGATACACCAGTTAAGGCTAGAAAGACTTAAGCTAATTCATTTTGCTGTGAAATAAATCACTCCTCCATCCCCTCAACCTCCGCCAGTTCTCAGGAGAAACACTGAAAATAAAATCTTACTGTATTTTTCTCTGATTCTAAAATCACTGCTGAAGTTGCATTTGGGTATTACTGACCACTTTGTGCACTGCTAGTCTCGGACATTTCCTGACTTCCAAGTTCTCAATTGAGTGCTTTCCAGTCATGCTTTTAGTAGTGTAGTGATAGGACAAGGGGGAATGGGTTTAAGCTTAAACAGGGGAAGTTCAGGTTGGATATAAGGAAGAAGTTCTTCACTGTGAGGGTGGTGAGGCACTGGAGCAGGCTGCCTGAAGAAGTGGTAAATGCACCATCCCTGGCAGTGTTCAAGGCCAGGTTGGATGGAGCCTTGGGCGACATGGTCTAGTGTGAGGTGTCCCTGCCCATGGCAGGGGGGTTGGAACTGGATGATCTGAAGGTCCTTTCCAACCCTAACTATTCTATGAGTCTGTGCTTTCCATTGATGAATATCTGCTTATCACTTGAATTTTTAAAGTGCAAGTCCTTTATCAAGTAGTGAGAAACAGGTAAACTGATTTGTCACTTTGTTAGTCCAGAGGTAAGACTCTTACGTCTTTTCTGTCTCGTTGCAGGTGGTGTGCTGAAGGTGGAAATCTGATTTGCTGTGACTTTTGCCATAACGCCTTCTGTAAAAAGTGCATTTTGCGCAACCTGGGTCGAAAGGAGCTATCGACTATACTGGATGAGAATAACCAGTGGCACTGTTACATTTGCCATCCAGAGCCTTTGTTGGACTTGGTCACTGCATGTGACAGTGTCTTTGAAAATCTAGAACAGTTACTGCAACAAAACAAAAAAAAGATCCGAGTTGAAAGTGACAAAAGTAAAATCTATGATCACACAGTCAAGTTCTCTCCAAAAAGAAACAATTCCAGTTGTAACGGAGAAGAAAAAAAACTCGAAGATTCCTATTCGGGTTCCCTAACGTATTCTTTTAAAGCACTTATGGTGCCAAAAGACTTGCTTAAGAAAACAAAAAAGCTGGTTGAAACGACAGCAAATCTCAATTCCAGCTTTGTAAACTTTTTGAAAAACGCTGCAGAAAATGTAGAAAGAAGCCCAACTATGCAACTTTGTCAGCTGAAAGCTTTTAAGTCTGTGCTGAATGACATGAAAAAAGCTCATCTAGCACTAAAAGAAGGTCTGAACCTGGAGATTCAAGCTTTGAATGTTAAACTCAAAGATAAAAATACCAAAGAGAAAAAATCTGATGTTAGATCAGAAAAAAACGAGGTGAAAAAAGATGAAGGAAAGGAACATGTGCCATTAAAAGAGGATGACATGGTAAAGACACAGAAGAAAGTTGTTTCAGAAGAGCCTGACAGTGAGCCCATGGATCAAAGTGTTCCAACAGTGGAACAAACGGGTGACAAGCGTACTTCTGGTGAAGAGAAAAAGTCTGGCAGAAATGAAGAACCTCAGTATGAACCTAATAGTACAGAGGCTTTAGACATGGATATAGTGTCCATTCCCTCATCTGTTCCTGAAGATATTTTTGAGAATCTGGAATCTGCTATGGAGATCCAGACTGCATCAGATGAACAAGACAATGGAAATACAGGAGCTGATCACGAGACTTTAAATGCAAATACAAAACTGAACACTCCTGTGAAAGATACCAAAGGTGGTACCAAGTTAAAGTCATCGGCTAAAGGAACGAAAGAATTGATCGTAAAATTGACTCCTGTTTCCATTTCAGAGTCTACAGTTAAAGCTGAAGATCAGGACAGCAGTCTAGAAAAGGGAAGTAAGGATGTGGATGTAGCACCTAAAGCAGAGAACTGTGATTCTGGAAAACAAAATCATAACGCCGGCAGTGAGCCTTCCACAGAGAATGAAACTGTCTCGCCTGTAGAGGAATCTGATCTCAGGAGATCGCCACGGGTGAAGACCACACCGCTAAGGCGCCAAACGGACCTCAGTCCTTTAACCTCAAACTCGGAAGAAGACAGCAACGACACGTGTAATGAAAAACGCAAGAGAAAATCATCAAAGCAACCAAGGAGGAAAAATGACAAAAGAAACTCCTCTGACAGTACTGCTGATGGCCCCAGGCCTAATAAACTATCTAAGTCCAAAAAGCCATATGTATCAGATCACAGCTCAGACTCTGATGAGGTGCCAGCTGTTCTTAAAGAAGTAGCTATGATGAGTCGCAGCTCTTCAGACATCGATAGCAATAGTGAAACCCCAACAAACGATCAGAAGACTTCAAAATTTCTAAAGAATCAGCCAGTGAAGGATGAAAACGGCAAGCGAAAAAGAAAAAGCTCCAGCTCTGGTTCAGATTTGGATGCTAAAAGAGGCAAATCAGCAAAAAATTCTGCTGCTGCTAAAAAGAAACGTCAGAACTATTCGGATTCTTCAAACTATGATTCTGAGTTAGAAAAAGAAATAAAGATTTTGAGTAAAATTGAGTCTGCAAAAAAAGCTAAGAAAAAATGCTCACGAAAAGATGATAGTTATGATTCGTCTGAGGAAGAACAGAGGAAAAAGGTAAATAGTAAGAGAAAGTTAAATCTGAAGAAACAGAGAGCTAAATCTTCTGGAGATGATGATGCCGAAAAGTCTTCCCCAGAGGAGACAAATCATTCTTCTAAAGATGAAAAACTTGGCAAGCGATCAGCTGCTAAGGAAAGGACGAACAGAGACTTAAAAGAAGACGCTGCAGAGGGAAAGCATGATGAGTCTTCTGATGTTGAGAAGTCTTCACTGGAGAAAGAGGAGAGTTCTAAAGGTGTGAGGCTAACTGAAGTGAAGAAGGGCAAGGATTTGAAAAAGGCACAAGAAGATTCATCTTCAGAGAGCACGGAGAAATCTGTGAAGAAAGAGCACGATTCTGATTCTTCGAAAGACAGGTTGAAGAATAAAAAGGAATCTGAAAGCAAGGTGAAGAAATCTGAAAAGCTGAAAACAAAAAGTTACAAGAAAGAACAAGATGATTCCTCTTCTGATGTTGAGAAGTCGTCTCCAGAGAAAGGAAGCTGCAATTCTTCTGAGAGTGACAAAACGAAGAAGAAGCCAGTGGTGAAAGATAAGAAAAGGAGGAATTTAAGAGAGAGAGTATCTAAGAGAGTGCAGCTTGATTTGTCATCTGATGCTGAGAAATCTCCCCTAAAAGAGGAGAGTTCTTCTGAAGATGTTGTGAAGAGGAAAACCCACGCTGAAACTAAAGAAAAGAAGAAAATCAGTCACAAAAAGAAAATTTCCAAGAAGGAGCAGAATGACTCGTCCTCTTCTGACGAGGAGTCTTGTGAAGATAGTAAGAAAAAGATGAAAAGAGGGTCAATGAAACAAAGTAAAAAGGGTGACTTAAAAAAGAAGGTGTCAAAAAAGGTGGTTGTCACTTCCTCGTCTGATAAGGAAGAAAATGATGAACAGAATTCGACAGGTGATGGAAGCAGCGATGAGCAGAAGATTATGCCAGTGACTGAAAACTTAATGCTGTCTGCTGGTGCAGGATTTTGTCAGTCATCAGGTGTGCAAGAGATGTTCGTTTACATGTGCTAATAGATAGGTTTTCTGGTACTGATTTGGAAGCACCCATTTCAATGTATACAGCTTGTCACTCATATGAAAGAGGATGTCAGTGTAAATGGCGAGGCTTGAGAAGCTGTAGCCTGTAATGCCAGCAGGTATTGCCTTGCAGCACAGCTTTCAACAGCCTGTTCCTTTGTTTGGTTGCCCAGATACTATTGAGCAGAAGATGGTTTTAAGCAGTAGGTATCTAGCGAGCTCCAATTGGTCAGCTTGTAAATTTAGTAGTAGTAATTCTTGCCAAGGTAGAACCCCTTCATCGGTGTGTTGTATCTTTAGGAAGTTAGAAAGAAATTCAGAACTGCTGAGTTTGAACACCTGGTTTAAAAGGACTTGAAAAAGGAAGGTTATTTTCCACATTGCATGGACAGTGCACATCTTCAGCAGATGAATTTTAAACTAGAAAAAAAATGAAATCTATTTTCTGTTTTAATTACCAGGACAGGTAAATTATTTACTATTTGTTTGCTTCTAAGGGTGTTTCATTGAACTTTCCTCACATGTTCCATCCTTGTAGAGTAGCAGTTGGGATGTAAGTTTCATACTCTGCATAATACACAGCCTTGTAATGTTTGTTTTCTAAAGTCCCAAGTTTAATTGTGTCTGTGTGTGTGTAATACTGTGACCTCTGTGTCCAGAGGTCTCTTCCAAGCTTAATTATTGTATGATTCTGTGAGAACCTGCCTTTGTCACATTATCTCAAAAGGAGGCAAACTTGCCCTTTCTCTTCAGTTTGCTTTTGGCTTAATAGGTGAATAAATAAAGAGGTCTTTCCTGTGTCTGAACAAGCTATGCAGGTTGATTGTTGAATAAGACTTCGAATCTGGTTCAACCAACAGGATATTACTCTTTATCCAGGCTTAGGAGTGAGGGGCTTCCTGTGATCACCCTTTACCACAGTCCTGTCAGTCATCTGGCTTGGTAATTCCAGGAAAAGCATATGTTAAAACAAGTTGGAACAAACCTGTCGCAGCCTCATTTTAGTCCTCTCCCTACAGGTAGAAGATAATCAATAGAGGTTAAGAATGAGGTGGTCTCAGGTCATTAAGATTAATTTTGCTAATGAGCAGATTTGATTGACTGACAACGTGAGTTAGAATCATGAGAGAAAAGAAAGGGGGGAGTGTGCTAGAAATAACCTGAGTTCCTCTCAGTTCAGCCAGGGGAGCGCAGAGGAGCTTAAAGGCAGGTATTGTACTCTGCTGTTTGCTCTGAGACGTTTCCCTTGCTGTTGGTTTTGATGAGGTTTCCATCAGGACAATATGCACATTGTGCATCTGTGTTTTGATACTGGCAGTAAGGATAGCACGTGTAGTTTCCAAACCATAAGTCTTTACGCAGGCACAACAAAGGTACATGCATCGTATTTGATACCCAGGAAGAAAAAATGGTCAAGAATTAGACTGTTCTTGAGTACTTCTTAATTAGCAACACGGTAGCTTGTAAGTTTGGCGAGTGATTCTGTAATGGGCCTTTTCAGTTTACAGGATGTCAGTAGTGGAGCTTTTGACATGGAGCAGGAATTTCGTAGGAAACTTAATTTCTGACTCATAGGTGGAGTATTCAGTCTCCCTATGTTTTGGTGTAAAAAAAAACCAAACCAAACAACCCAATCTCATAGTATGTAATAGGGAAAGAAGTGCAAGTTTTGTGTAGTATCCAAGCAAGTGCTGCTTGAAAAGCTACAGACTTTTAATGCTACAATATTATTTTAATAAAAATGTATCTCTAAAATATGGGTTTATAATTCAGGATAACTGGGTTCTTGGCTAGTAGAAAAGTGGTGGTATTACCAAGCTGGTTTTATATGGGAATTCTTGATGGAGACAGTCATTCATGTGCTGTGTTGTTTATTGCTGGTTTGCATGTATTAAGTGTTCATGTCTTCTGTTTCTTTGTTTCCCCTTCCTCCTCCAGGAGATGAGGGAGAGACTAAATCAAGGGCTGTTCCAATGGAGGAGGAGGAAGATGATGATGATGACGATCCTGAGAATAGGTATGATACCATCCGTAAGGACTTAAAAAAGATTATAACACACCCTAGGCGTGGGCGCAAACCGGCACAACGGAAGAGCAAGCAGGTTGTAAAAACCACGGCTGCCTGCCTTGTAAAGACTCGCTCACGGGCCTCCCGCAAGTTTGAACAAGGGGCCAGAAAACAGAGGCCAAAATCCAGAAATGCAAAGAAAGTATTTAGACATGTTAGCTAACACACCTTGCATAGGGTGTGTTATAAATGCACTGCAGCACTGTCCGGTTTATGTTCCCATTAAAGGTGGCAAGGATTTCACTCAGGCAGGTAAAAATCTACTTCTGATAAATGTGAATTTCAGCTAGTTACGTGGTAAAAGTACCTTATAGAAGGTAAATACTTGCATCTGTGCAATATGCAGTGCTAAAGATTTTTCTGACTGAACTTCGTTTTATCACTGTTATCTAATTTGCTTTTTAAATAGAAACACCCTTTCTCAATAAAGAGAAAACACAAATATAGGGGAAAACAGGATTAGATATTTTCAGTTGTTCATTAATCTGAGTTTTAATCCACTAGAGAACACCTGAAGTGACTAATGTGAGAGTTAAGGCCCTGATTCTACAAGCACTGTGCATAGGCTTAACTGGTATCAGAGACTAATGATACATACACACATTTTAAGTCTTTGCATAGGCATTTTCAGAATTGTGGCTTATGCGTGCTTCAGTTTCAAGCTCAATAAAAATGAAGTGCCGTTGTAGCCATCAAAATTAGCCTGGTTAGAAAACGTAGAAGCTTTGTTGCCTCGTGCGTGAATGCACAACATGAAGTATCGCTCAATTCTGAGCCACAGTTTCTCTGTTTAGAAGCTATTGTAGTTAGCTGAAGAGTTGTTCAGCAACTTTTTATGCAGTATTTCAGAAACTGATTGATTTTTCTTGGCCATATTGCATGTGTGGGACCAGCTTCATAGCTTTGCACAGTTGCTGCTGGAGTCTTTTTCTGCTTCTGAGCCTTACTAGTTTAGAAGAGGGAATCTTTGTTTCACAGAGTTGTATGTTTTGATCTGTGGCTGAAGTAAATTTTCAAAACGCTGTTTTATATCCTCCACGGACCTCAGTTTAGCATCAAAACATTGCTGCTGATGTAGTTCTTGCTTGGTTTCAGTCATCAAATTTAATCCAGTAATTCAGATTTTAAAGAAGGATGCTCTTGAGGGACTTGACAGCACAGGGTCATAAGCAGAACATGTAAACGTTGGTCGTAGAAGATCCTGGTTCTTTAATTTCAGTCCTGTTTTGAGTTTTTTCCTTCTTTTTCCCTTTTTGTTTGTTTTTTAAGTGTTTCTTGGTTGATAACTAAGCAAATACACTTGTCAAAGCAGTGTTAACTTTACAAATGTCACTGGCAGATCTTAAGTATTAATTTAAGAACTATATTGGGAAATGAATTAACCCAATTGATAACGATCAAATCATTAATATGAATTTGGGGATTAAAAACCAGTTTCTGTACTTTGTTTTTAAGATGAATCTCTGTTGAAGTTTTTATTTAGGGAATATTTTGACTCTATGAGATGGGGAGCTGTTTTGTCAATAAACAGTTTTGTCAACCTTCAGACATGTTAACTGGTAACTGCAGTCTGATTCTCAATTCATCAATGCGTTGTACTTGGCACCAAATCAGATACATAAACTGTAAAAAGATGGCACAAATTTCAAGAAGTTAAAAGCTTGTTCTTCTGTTTACTCAACACAAAGTGTTTAAATAGTTTACCTGCTATTCAGATAAGTTGCCTATTTTCTTCCAGGCCAAAGAGGGTACCTAGTACCTACCGGGTGTTTGTAGTGTGGGAACTCTCATATTTGCAAGTCTCTAGTTTAGATGTTCTGTTATTTGAATACCTTTGGATGTGCATGACATGAATATTAATAGTCTTGAAATCATCTTTGCCAAAATGCAATATCCAAGTGGGTCATAATATGACATACAGTGCTGTATGCTTTCATCTTATGTTGTGTAATTATCTATTACTGGTCCTTCTGATCTTTTAAATGGTACTGTTTAATATGTTTGCAGTAGTTTTGTTTATTAAGAAGTCAATAGTGTATTAAATGCAGAATGCCTTTAAATATTTGATGGTTGCAATAAATTTTTGTAAAACGTTTTTCTTGTCCCAGCATTTAATTTAATACAACTCTGACAGCTTGAAAATCGGACTGTTCCAACAAAGACAGCACAGTATTTAGAAGAAGGTGTTTGGCAGTTTTCACCGTTTTTCTTTTGGTTGTTTTATTTTATTAATATCATTTCATCCAAATATTCGTCTCTGAAAGTATATTCTAAATGGTTCTAAATTTTTTAGTAACATACCAAAGGCCCATTTAGTTTGGTAGTGCTGTGGCTAAAAGAATAGTGGCTTTTATTAGCCACATAAAAATGTCCTCCCCAGTCCAAAGGCTTGTTTCGGGCAACCTTATTGCTACAGGTAATTAGTAGGTATTTATGAACACTACGTGTGAGTTGACATAATGCAATTGGTAATAGTGCATCATGATCACTTACTAACATACAAAATTATGACTCTGAGGAGAATTACTTTTACAGTCGTAGCATTGTCTCACCCAAGATTTTTGACAGTGTGTTACTGAGTCCATCATATCGGCACTCTCAAATTCCTGAACAAGAATGGTGCAGATTATGGTGTGAATTTAACTCCCCGTCATGAGAGGCTGCACCTGCTATTCCGTTTTTGCTGCAGTGTCTGAAGGATAATTGAAAATAGTCCTGTACTGGAACTAAGCAACTTCCAGTTTGCTTATCTCTGTTTAAAAGTGTTTCCTTTGAGCGTAAGTTGAAAAATATGTAGTGACCAATTCATTATTTATAAATGTATATTGTTAGTGTCATTCTTACAAAGGTGAACTATATTTAAATCCCAATTGACAGAAAATTACATGCTGTTATTTTATTCTAGACTTGTTTTTTTATCATGTCCTGGTTGAGATTACAGTCCCAGTCTGCAAGGCGCTGTATAAATACGTGTTGGGAAAATGCCCTCGTAAGCAACACCATATGTTTAGATAAGATGGAGCAGGGCAACATGACATGCTCAAGGTCACAGCAGATCAGTGGCAGAAGTGAGTGAAATGCAGGGGGGTGTCTGTTTGTTTCACTACCTGAAGCCCTGTGCTGGAGGTCATGCAGCTCTCTGTGCTTCTTAATTAAATTTGTTTATAGTGTTCAACTGTTACATCTGGTTGGCCAAGAATACCTTTTATGTCCTTGACTTGAGTAAATAGTGTGGTATCTTTTGACTGTCATGGGTTTCTCTGGAAGAATATGAGCGAGGGAGTTTTCACATTGTCATAGCTTGTTTTTCTTAGTACTTGCAGCTGATCTTAATGCAAATACTAAAATATTAAACCTGCCATATGAAGTTTCTTAGCTTAGAAGCGTGGTCACTTTAAATGGGTTTGTATCTTAAAACAGGCGATACATCCTCCTGAGCCACATAGGATTTAGTTTAAAACCAGTTTCAGGAGTCCAGTACTTAATTTATTCTAATTCATATAAACCATTTGTTCTATCAGTCATTTGTCAGATGCATTAACAAGGCTTAATCTGTTTGCTGCTAATATTGCTTACACTTGAAATTCCTGTCAGATGTGCAGTTACATTCAAAATACGAATCTTTTAAATTCTGAATGTCTCAACAATGTCTTACATTTTTAGCCTAACACTGTACCAGTGGAGTGCATTGAAGTGCTTCTTGGAGTGCATTGTGGCTTCTTTCATTGAACAGACAGTTCCATCTCAGTTTGGTTCAAAGTGGTTGAATCCTTATCCTAGCTAAAAAAATACTTCTTGATTTTCTGTTGCAGGGTATAAAAGCAATAACTTCTTAATGTTGTTATAAACAATTAGAAACTAGTAAGTTTACCCAGTCTGCTTGGGGTTATGGTGGTGATTAGTAGGAAAATAACAGCATCTTCTGGTTATGGGTAGTGCATTCTGTGCATGGTATTTTTATGTGGATGATGCATTTGCTTTCCTTTTCCCCCCTTGACAAAAATCTTTATAAAAGAACAAAGGAAAATGTGTGTCTTCTTTTAAGAACCAAAGTCAACCTTTGTCTAAAAATAGTTAACCAAATTTTTAAAGGTGACTTGTATGAGAGGTAAGTATGGTTGCACATATACAAGTTGTGTTAACTTTACGAATGCATTTGAGGGCAACCCAAAGTAAGTCAGGGGCCGTGTTTCTAGGCAGTGCTTTTGGATTGAATGCTGAAATCTTGCAGTTCTTTTTAGCGTTTCTCCTTTTTCTGGGGTTTGTTTTTTTTTTAACTCTTCCAAAGCAAACTTTGGTGGGAATATTGTTATTTTTTTAAACAAGCGAAGTAGCTGAATTGCTGCCATCTGCATTTCCTACAGTAGGATTCAAGGTTACTAATTCACATTGAAAGCTCTTAAAGAGAAGCCAACTTGTGACATCCCAAACAGTTTCAGTTTGAAGAAGAAGTTGTGACCATTAAGAGATGGAAGGAGTCTCAGTTTCTTATCTAAGGAGCTATTTATTCTTGTTGCTATTATACACAATGTGGTGGGTTTAAAAAAGGGCAAACAAACCAAACAAACAAACAGGCAACAAAAATAACCAAGTCCCTTTTCCAAATCCTCTGGAAGGACCTAATGCAGAAAAGCATTTGGAAGAGGAAGTTAGTTATCTATGGACTTTAAGTTTTCATTGAGTTCACACTGTGATCTGTTGATGTGCATGAAATCAAAGCTTATAATGAGTACCGCATCTTACAGTTTTAATCAGCTGTTTCTTCACAAGGCACTGCTCAAAAGAGGGGGGGTGTTCCAGTGCTGATGGACGCAGTCTGTGACTCACTGAGCAATCCTTAATCTTTATGAAACCGTTTTACTTCCATCTTTTAATAATAACTGAATATACAGTAGTTTTAGAATATTTTGTGTGTTTATACTACTGCTCGAAAAAGTAGGAAATAAAATGGCACTGAAAAGTTCCTGTGTTGTAAGGACACATTGCATCCTGAAAAATGAATTTGGATTTCTTAAAACCTATTTTACATGCGCTACATAAAAGTAACAGTTTAATTTTCAACTGTGTAAGAAGCTGTACTTAAGAGATCACTGTTCCTTTGGTGTTTCCAAGTGAAGCCTAGGTTGTGGTTCAGTTTCATGGGGTTTGGCTGGTATAAAATCCTTCCAGTTCTCCTGAAAGGCAAAACTTGATCAGACTTGATCATTTAAAATGATGACCATGGGATGAAAACTGTAATATCTCTGATGTTTCGATGAAGAAGGCCTTGTTTCATTCTTTCAGGGTTTTTTCCCCCTGGAAGTACAGGTTCTCAGAAGTCCACTGTTTTCCTGGGCATTTGACATATTTTATATCTTGCCTTGGCTAGATTGATGTAAGATTATTTTTATGTTGCAAGAGCATGAAAATCAATCATTTTCCCATAGTAACTACTTGTACGTTGGCTGAAAACGCTCTTGTGCTGAAATGAAACTGCAAGGAGCTGAGAGAACGCTTTGTGGAACAGGAAATAAGATTGTAATTTTTCTTTGAAGTTCAGGTCCTGTAATGTTCCATAAAATGCTTTTGTGTGTCTGATTATACACGCTATAGTTGCTCTTAGGCAAGTGCTGGTAGTTACCTGAGGCGTTCAGTGTGGGTTTGTTTCCCCTGAGGCATTTAATACCAGTAGGGTGGGCCCAGGCAACTAGAACAGTGACACAGTTGAAAGTGAGATATGTAGAGATAGGGCAATATACTCATTTTTGTTTGGTTTTTTTAAACCTGTGAGTTAATGTTTACTGCAGTAATCTTTTTCTCCTTGTTGAAAACACACGTTCAGTGATGCACTGATCTAAAAACTATTACTGTTTATGTGTACACCAGTCAGATTCTGTGCCTCAGGAAATGAGTCTTATTGATTTAAATCAAGTAAGCAGAGTCATCGTTGGTGGAGGGGGGAATGCTTTGAGTGTTAGGGTTTGGTCTGCTTCACTGTCATGTTCATGAACAGTTAGAATTCGTATAGGTGCCTGTCCCAAACTGACAAGAGTCCATTCAGATAGGCCATGAATAAAATGAAATGTTTAGCCCTGTACATTTTATAGTTGTCTCCAGTCTTGCTGTACAGCCCAAAACGTTTTTCTTTTTAAGACGCATTTACACATGTTGCTTTCTAAAATCAAGTTAACACATTACACTTTGGGATTCTGCTGATATACTGACCTAACCACAATGACTCTTCATCATGTGTGTCTCTTTTGTTCAGCCTTCAGCCCCTTTTTTTTTGACGTTCAGAATGGTATGGGATTACACTTGTCGTTCATAGATTGCCTTGAACAATGGAATAAATAGTTTTTTCTGTTTTACTTCAAAGAATTGCCAAGAAAATGCTTTTAGAAGAAATCAAAGCCAATCTTTCCTCTGATGAGGATGCATCTTCAGATGATGACTCGGATAAAGGAAAAAAGAAAACTGGAAAGCAAATTGAAAACACAGGAGATGATGGTGAGCACCAGAAAGCATCTGGGAAAAAGTGGTGCTGTGTTGCCTGTTGTCATTTCAAAGCTTACTTGGGAAAACTGTAATTTCTAAGGTTTCGTTTTCACCAAAAGGATGTCATTGGTATTAATCGGTGGTTGCCAGATAGAGGCCAGTGTAGATGCCATGAAGATTATCATCTCTTTTACTCTCCTGCAGGTGTCTTTTTTTTGTTAATAATCTGATTTTTGTCACTAATTGAGAAGTCCTAGGGATTTGTGAGGCACAATCTATACACTAAGGTGTGCAAACACAGGAGAGATTTGACTTACATAAGCAGTTACTGGAGCAGACATTCCCAGTGTAAAATACTTAAAATTTGAGGAAACAACAATATGTTTTTGCTTGTGGTTTCCTGGAAAAGCACAGAATTGAGCCTCAATTAATTCAGCTTTAATTCTTGCCACATTTCTGTAAGAAAAAAATGACCAGTGTGCATGTGTTACTGACTCTTATCTCTGACAGAAGAGAATGAAAAGGAAGATAATTCTGAATCAGATTCAGAGGAAGAAGAAGAAGAATCAAAGAAGCCTAGATACAGACACAGGCTGCTGAGGCACAAGCTGACAATGAGTGACGGAGAATCTGGTGAAGAAAAAAAGGCAAAACCAAAAGAGAAGAAAGAAGGGAAGCGCAGAAACAGAAGGAAAGGTACGTAACCTAAATGTGCTTTGTCACAACAAGTACTTGCTTCTATAAAATAAGTCCAAAGCGTGTCTGAATGGAGATCTGGAATTCTGTAATTCCACAATCTGTGCATGAGCTTCCTATGTGTTAAATCCTAGAATTCTCTTACCTGGGTTTAATAGCTTTATTTAAGATGTTGAATACAAATGCAGCTGTCTCCACTTATTATATCCTCTGAATTGGATTAACCTTGTTGAGTCTTAGAATATGAATCTTAAACAACAGAGGCCAGCCCAGTATGTCCACTTTGTGAAAGTCAGTCTTGTCCTTTGTGTAATTTCTCCCTTTAACGTGGACTGTCAGTAGCCCTTTTGTGCTTCAGGAACTTCTCGAGCCTGGAATTCAAATGTCACAAGCTGTAGTTGAACACCAGATGGCACTGTGAAATGGTGTTTGGCTTGGAGATTTCCATCCTTGCATGCAGGAACAATGAACGTGTCAGCCCCTTGCGTTTAACCCTTTTGAGCAGGGGAGGGGAGTGATAGTAAAGATAAATGCTTTTTATCAGTGGTCAATGTGGTCGATGTTGATGGTGTTTCATGGCAAGTGGAAGTAAGGGTACATGGTACTTCCCTGTTCTTGGTGTTGCCCTACTGCCAGCCATCTTTTGTGGTGTTCCATAGACTAAAAGATGCAGTGTGATTTGTTTGCCATTTTCCTTCATCAAAATTCTCATTTTTATCTGAATGTATATTCATGCTTTCCTTCCTTATGGCATTATAACTCTACCAACAACATTTCTTCCATGAATACCAATTGTAAGTTAGAGCGGCAAGTAAGATGCAGCCAGATTAATTCTCAGGATTCTTTAGTGTAAGTCTCTTAAGTTCACTAGTCTCAAGTAGAACAATATACTTATTTCAGCTAGATGGTTTTTATCCCTGTGTTATTAATATTACGTTTCCCCATGTATATAAAACAATGGTTGGGTTAAGCCTTGTTATTCATAAAACAGTTAAACTTTCCGCTGCCTTCAAGGTCAAAGAGAAACTATAAAGTTGCTAAGTGGCATACTGGTCTTAATTACTTATAAATGCCAGTGATAACTCCTAAAAGTAGTTATGGAAGTATTACCTAATGCTGCTAGTTTAGATGTATTTTTAATTGTCTCTTGAGTCCAATTTAAATTTGTGTTACCTGAAGAAACTTCAAGCCATAAATACGGTGGTATAATTGCAGATGTTGTTAGTAAGTAAGGGTTGTTGCGTCAATTGTAAAGTGTGATTATAAAATTGTATCTAAAACGTTCAACAGCTTCCACGTAACTAAAAATCATATTCTGTTACCTGAAATTCTGTACTGTTTCCCATTGGGTTCTCTCCTCCTCACCCACTGTCTTTGAAATGTGTTACTTTCTAATGTAATGCTTTCTGTCATTTGCTTGTAAACTATACATAGACACATAAAGACCTCAAGTCTTTATGTTGGCATAATATGCTGTCTGTCAGGGCTCAGGTAGTGCTTACACGTGAAACTTTTCTACTCTACCCCTTATATTCCTGTAGCTTATTAGTATGTTTACTGGGTCCTGTGCTGTTTGAAATGAACTTTTACAGTGCTTGTTGATTGTAAAGAGTTTGTTGTGTAATCAGAAGATACATCATGTTGCTAACTTTGCAGTAACATTCAACATGAAATCACCCTTTATTTTTAAAGTGAGCAGCGATGATTCAAATGACTCTGAGTTTCATGAGTCTGCAGTTAGTGAAGAGGTCAGTGAGTCTGAAGATGACCAACGTCCAAGAACAAGGTATAAATAAAAGATAGCTGTGCTTATCCTGCTGTTTGAGTTTTGGGTTTTGATAGTGCCATTTAGGCAGTGAGATAGAAAAGGGTAAAGACTTTGCATCAGTCCTTAAAACCTTTGATGATACTTGTCTGTAATCTGGTACCTGATGGTTAACTTTGCAGCAAGTGTATTTTGAATTCATACCACACTTTGTGGTACGCAGCGATTCAGGGAGCCAGAACACACAAAAGATTAATAAAAAATGAGCATCTTTATGCCAAATGTGTCAGTACCAGTTGAGGAATGGTGGGTAGCAGTAGAAACAATTCTGAGATTCATCAGGGTTGTCTGGAATAGGCTGTTCCTATGTGTGTCCAGTGAGTTGAGGGGGAGGAGGGAATTTGAAAGTAAACACCTGATGCCATAAAAGGAGTATATATTCTATTATTTAGCAATAGAATTCATGTCCTTTTTATCATTGTTTTTCAGTGAGGCAGTGAGTTGTTATTACTAATAGTGCTTTTTTCCTTCTTTTTATAGATCTGCCAAGAAAGCTGAGGCAGAAGAAAACCAGCGCAGTTACAAACAGAAAAAGAAACGAAGGCGTATCAAGGTTCAAGAGGATTCTTCAAGTGAAAACAACAATAAGGTACTTTATTGTGTTTTGAATTGATAGATGGGAAAAGGAGTTCCTGTCTCTTCTGGCTTAGGGACTTGGGTAGCTCCAACAGCTCTGTAGAAAGTACAGTAAAAAAATACTTTTCTCGAATTCAGTTCTGTGCTAGAATTTGTAAAATGGCTCCATTATGGAGAAAAAACATTGCATTTACCTGAAGCCATTTCCTGTCTAGTTCTTGGTAAAAATGCATGCTATCTTTTAAATAAATGGTATTTTTAAACTAAGCTTAGAAGGTGACACAGATAGTAGATTAAGGTTTTCCTAGTATTAGGGTCTCTTTTCCTATGTGTGGAGTAGGTGATGGCTGATCCCATCTAGCACCAGTAGAACAGAAAACTAGTTCTTTATTCATCATTAGTTACTATCAAATTATAACAGTGCCTTCAGTACTCAGCTGGGCTTATCTTCCATATCTCAGAATACATTATAGCTGAGGTGGCACTTCTGTCATGCTGGCTAACCTGCTTTTTAAAGAGAAGAGTTATCTTTTTTCTTACGAGCTGAACTCCACCTGTGCGCGTAGAAGTTTTTGGGAGCTTGCCTAAAACTGAAAGATTTGATGGTCTGTGCCATAATTTTCTTGCTAATACTTACTTTGTTTAATTTGTAATAGAGTAATTCTGAGAATGAGGAAAATGATGATTCCAAATCTCCTGGAAAAGGCAGGAAGAAAATAAGGAAAATTATTAAAGATGATAAGCTTAGAACAGAGACTCAAAATGCACTTAAAGAAGAAGAAGAAAGAAGAAAACGTATAGCAGAAAGAGAACGGGAGAGAGAGAAACTGAGAGAGGTATTTTCTGTTTTCTTTGCAGAATGCTTGGAAGTTGAATTGTTGATGTTTAAGATGATACGTCTACCTCAATTTAATAAGTAATTTTAGAAGTACTTACATGTAGCCTTGTAAACCACAAGTTTTATTTGTAGTTTAGTGCAGGTTAATATTGCTAAGTTTGAAGATTACTGATGTCTTTAGAAAGTTGTTTCAATTGCCTTACTGCTTTCCTTTCTGTGGGGAAAAGCACTCTTCCAAATGCTGGGTATTATTCATATGTGAAGTATTCCTGTGATGACCTGTTCCTGCTTTTAGGTGATAGAGATTGAGGATGCTTCGCCTCTGAAATGTCCCATTACAACTAAGCTGGTTTTAGATGAAGATGAAGAAACCAAAGAACCATTAGTGCAGGTTCACAGGAGTATAGTTACCAGACTGAAACCACACCAAGTAGATGGTAAGAAAATAAGAGTTCTAAATGTATTTGTTTTCCCCCTCCACTGGTACACAATACATAGCCTGAATTAGAATCATGAGAAAAACTCCTTGGCAGGCAAATGTCACATTTAATGCTTTCTTTTTTGAACATCTGAACAAAGTATATGAGGCCAGCAATACACAGTTCTGTTTTACAAGCAGAGAACCTTAGAAATATAAAGCTGAAAGGGTCCTTAGAATCATCTAGTTCTCAATGCTGAGGCAGAATCAAATACATGTTTACCCATTCTAGTGAGGAATTAGTATATTCACTTTTTATAGTTTTCAGTGAAGATTTCAAAGTCTCACAGTGTTTTCCTGGTACCTGCCATGGCTGCAAGTCAACATGACTTCTTTCCATACTTGGTTTCTAGTGCAAGGGAAAAGGAGAAGAGGCAATCAGAATTTTCTTTACAGCTTATTCTGTTGTTTTACATTTTCCTCAGAGTTTGTAACCTTTCCATTTTAGTAAGAAAGGGATGTGCCTTGAACCAGATACAAGAGGATAAGTTGAAGCCTTATCTTTGCCAAGTATAGCATAATAGAATACAATTCCCAGTAAATCTATTGCAAAGAACAGAAGAATCACCCAGCAGACCCTCATGTTAATGCATTTTGTTATGTAGCATATATTTCCGTTCCTTTTTTTTCAGCTGTCACAGTTCTTACTTGATTTTTTTTTTCCTCTTTAAGCATAGAACTTCACATCTGATGTGTCTGAGCAGAAGTTCTTCCAGTTCGTTTCAGATAATTTTGCTATTATACCACGGTCATTTTAGTTTTTTCATTAAGTCCATTCCACTTTTCAGTCTGTCTTCCTCTTTTCTCCCTCTCCCCAAAATCAGTCATCTGCAGTCTGCACTGTAATAGCTTCTCACCCAGTTGCCACATCTTCAGTGAAAACTGATTATACAGTTTTGTGACTATACTGAAGTTCAAGACAAAGATCCCCATGCATACAGATCATTGGACAGAAATTAATCAATAATTAATCCTGAGCACTGCTTTTCTAAGAGCTGCCATGATGTTACAGTGCTCACATCTGTCTTTTACCAGGTGAATTTTAATAAATGGAGTATTTCATGAGAAAATTTTCCATCATTTTCTTCAGGTGTTCAGTTCATGTGGGATTGCTGTTGTGAATCTGTGAAAAAAACCAAGACATCTCCTGGTTCTGGCTGCATTCTTGCTCACTGTATGGGTCTGGGGAAGACGTTACAGGTAAGAAACAGAAGTCTTGTTTTCTGGTCTATAGCTTGCTCTCAAAAGCTGGTCCAGGAAAAGCCAATTTTAATGACTTTCTGAACATAGTAAACCTGACTGCTTCCTAGGCAGTGACTCGATGAGGAGGGTTGCTGGGGGAAAACACTTTGTAAAGAGGCCTTGAGGAAGAAGTTGTGTTTTGTAGCACACACCTGTGAGAGTTCTGATACACACTTGTGCCCTCTCCACTTTTCAAATATCAAAAACTGAATTAGCTAATCATGAAATTTATGTGAAAAGGTCATATTTAATTGTAAGTGGTGTGTAGCTCCCTTGCAACTCAGAACAAGAAAATAAAGCTAATAGGAGGCAGGCTTTGGGAGCCTCTGTTTCTAAGACAGTTTCATTATCTTAAGCAGGTTGTTCCTTAAACTGATTATTATCCACAGTGGCCTTTCAGTTAATTTGTTACATTGATACAACAGAGGTTTATCAGGGTTGCTTGTTTTGTTTGGGTTCTTCATGCCAGACTTTCGGTGTCTAAAGTCAGGTGCTTTATGTTTTAATATAAACGTGTTTGTACAGTTTGGGCTTTTTAGGGGGCATTTGTTTTCTATTTCAGTAATAGTCCACATGTACGTTGATATTTTTGGGTTATTGTGCATCACTAACAGTTGAGACCAGAAGCTCTCATTACTTTCAATCCCTTTTCACTTCTTTGGCTTTACAACTCTTCCCTTCCTGAGAAGGTTCAAGCCTCCATTGTCACTTCAGCGCATGTTCCTTCTCCTTTACACTGCTGAAGACTGCTTTGTAAAAATCTTTAAAGCAGAATATTGTAGCATAGATTTGCTATAGTATTTGCTATAGAAGTAGATGTGTATACTTTGTGGTCTGATACAAGTGGCTCTTCTCCCAACTTACCTTTTCTCTCAGTCTTTAAAGTCTGAAGCTCATCCCCGTCTTAAAATGTTTCTTCTGAAACTGATCCCCCAAGCAGTTGCTGTAAAACTCATGGCTCTTTTGTTTGGCCTCTTCTAATCATTGCAGGCCTCAGGACAAGTTATACCCTTGACCTTCAAAACTGATTAAAGATCAGTACCAGTTCTCTTCAGTTCCCTTCATCTCGGTATGCATGCTGCTGCCTTCTCAGCGTAGTCAGGAGTGTTGAATTCCTCTTGTTGCTTGCTCCCAAGTATCTGTCTGTCTTCATAAATTTTGGTTTTGCATTTAGCCAGTTGTAGCTTCCCCATGAATACTGTGAGCAAAGAACTGGGGTGAGTTGCCCAGCATCTTGCTGCTCTGCTTCTGGTCTGTTCCCAAGAATTCTTTAGCAGAAGTCATTTGGCAGAAGAACCTTTCCCTGATTCTGGGAAGGAGAAAGGGAAATTTTTGAGAACTCTGAAGAGGAAAGGAGGAAGGTAACAGCCTTATCTGTGCTTGCAAAGGCCCTCAGAAAAGCAGGGCTGCTTTCATTTTCCCTGTTGTTGGCCTTCATTGATGCTGTTTCCTTGTTTCTGAAGGAGGGAGATACTCTTGTATCTTTATCAGGACAAGTAGCTAGTGAAATTAATTACTGGGAACCCTTCTGATCTCTGGCTTGAGCTGAATCATTAGAAATTTAACCTGCAGCTTCTGCAGACACTGGAATTGATTAGGACTAGTTTCAACTAGGGATCAGTCAGGACCTTTCTGTTCCAGGGAAAGGTCTTAGCTGTGAGGTCACTTGACAGGAGATCCGTCTAGTGCTCTGGTGAGTTTGTGACTGGCAAAGTCTAGATCGCATTAGCAGCCAGCACTTGCACAACACTTCATTGTAAATTCTTCCTTCACATGCTCCAGATATGGCTGCACTTTACTCATTCCCTGGAGTTCAGTCTCTTCAGCGTGGTAATGATGGTTCTCAAAGAGGTTATTTTCTTCCTACAGTGAGGATGGGATCCTCAAAGCGTCTGTGAGGAAATGCCATTTCACCATCCTCTTCCATCTTGGTCAGTTGTGGTAGAAGCTTCCCCATTGGTTTGGGAAGCCCTATCACCTGATGTGAAGGCCCAGGAGCTGTTCATTCATAGAGAGGTCAGTATATCAACGTACTGGAATTCCAAGCTGTATGAAAGATGTCTCAACACTTTGGTACCATAGCTAGTTTCGTAGTCTGCAAGTGACAACAGCCAACTTCGTACCCTTGTTAGCCACTTGGCAAACAAAATGCTGTAAGATGCTGTTGCCAGGCAGTCAGTCATTGACACCTCTGTATTTGGAATGAGGCATCTCATTAGTTTTTGCTCTCTGGTATTGCTCACATCTGCCTTCCTAGCTGGTGTTTGGTGCCATCAGCACATCTGGATGCTGCTAGATAGCATGCTTGACTTGAAATCTGTCATTATTAGCGACTTGAAATGTGCTTCAAGAGAAAATTTTCAGAGGGAATCTAGCAGGAGGTATCTTTTACGCTTTGCTAGTGTTAGCTATGCCTTACTGGGTCAGGTGGCTTCCTTACATTCTTGTGTCTTCCCTACAAACTGTTGCTGCCTGGGTTCTTCAAAAAGTGAAGTTGTTGCCTAATTCTGCTCTTCTCAAATCTAATTGAGACCGATTTCATTTAGGACTGTCTGATCCTGAGTCTTCTTTCTTGACCCGTGAATTACAGGGTATAGTCACGGAGCAGTTAGGCTGGCATAATGTCTTCAGATTCTTTAGATCCTCAGATTCCTCTGCAAAGATGAGCTCAAGGGATCAAGAGAAGCTTGGGGTTTGTGGTTTTGGGTCTTGTGGCTTTCTGAGTTTGGGGATTTTTGTGGGTTGCAGGGTTTTTTGAGTAGCAAAGAGCTGTGGATGGTTAGAGGGACTGTGGTCACTCACTCTATATACTGTGTAGGTAAAACCAGCTGTATTCTTGGTTGGTGGTGATGCATAGCATGTGCACAGTATGATTTTAAGAGCTCCAGCTGAGTATGTGTGGCTTTGCATTGTTCATGGAAGGTGGGGTGACAGACACGGTATTTTGACAATCTACAATCCTGTAGAAGAGGAGTTTTATACATTGAGAATCACCATTGAAGAGTGAGTTTTTACATGCTTAAATTCTAGCTCAGCTGTTACAGTTCTTCAGGTGTTATTTACACCTTTTGCTGGAGTGCAGTGTTTTGTTTTAATGCAGCAGTGCAGTCGAGATGACTTTGTACACGCTTACACTTCATACAATATATATTAGTTTGCTGAAGTATTTCACAGCAGAAGGTATTTTTGTGTGTCATCTGGATGCGTGAGTGACATTTGTTTTGGCTGTAACTTCCTGGTAACTGAAGACACCCACAGTTACAAATATGTATATTGTATGCATAATACTACTAAAAATGTGCATATTTTTATGGCCAGTGTTTGTAGTTTAGGTAGTTGTTTCTTTCTTTATGTGGTCATTTCCTAGTCCTTCTAACGTACTCTGCAATGCTATTTGTTGTCTAGCTTGTATTAAATCAGTAACAAGTGTTAGCAGACTGTACACTGCAGAGAAGAATTTCAGTAAAGGATCAGGGAAATAGAGTGATTAGGGTCCTCCTGGCTTTCTAGGACATAGGACTTCTGTGATTAGTGTTCATGGGTAGTTTTTGCATCTGAACACAAGATTGATTGCAAACCCACTAGGAATTCCTTTTGTATTGCAGCATCTAAAAGCAGTTGGTTTCCCACTGTTCCAAGCAGTCGTGCAGTTTGAAATTACTTTGAACAGCATATTAAATCAGAGTTTCCAAATACCAAGATCTGAACCAGAAAGAACTTCCTGGGTGTTGTATAGTCCCATGAAGTAGAGTGCCGTCTTCACCACTGAAAGGCTGGTGTGAGAGCTAGAGCTGCCATGGGATCTGGGTCACTGATTCTTCTGCTCCTGGGATTTTAGAGGTCACCTCTAGTCCTGTCTTTATTTGCTGCTCAAAACCAGGCAGCCCAGCAGAATCGCTGAGTGACATCCAAAGATTTAAGGCTTTTTTTCCCAGCCCTCAAGGAGGTGTCACCATCTGCAGCATACAGCCAGTCTGGCTACAGTGTGAATACTTGGAAAGCATTTCAGTAACCTGCTGCAGAGCTCTTCTGAGAGAATTTGCCAATAAGCTGGAAACATTTGGAAAACACTAATTTAAGAGTGAAGTTCACTTTCAGGAAACTTGATACGAAGTCCAAAGAGGTGAACTTACTTCGTGGTTGGGGCGAGTACTGGGGGAAAGCTTCAAAATTACCTCATACAAAAACTGAGTTTATGAAAATGATTGGTGAAATGTAGAAGGAGCATTCCTTATTTCTGAAATCATTCAGCTATCTGATGCAATTCCAGACTCTGCATATCTTGGGGTGTGAAGCACATATGCAGCCATGTAACACCGGGTAATAAATGTACGACTTCAAAATACTCATGTATGAAATTTTAAGCAGGGAGTTGTTCAACAAACAGAAAGGAATGTTTCAACAAGAGGGTTGTTGGTAAGTTCTAGATGTGAATATATACTTGCAGGTTTCTTTTCTAGTTTAGCACTCTGTGTTTTAATGGACATTTTGTCTGTTTGTTCCTCTTGCAGGTAGTGAGTTTTCTTCACACAGTCTTGCTGTGTGACAAGCTGGATTTTCGGACAGCTCTTGTAGTGTGTCCACTGAACACTGCCTTGAACTGGTTGAATGAGTTTGAAAAATGGCAAGAAGATTTAGAAGATGATGAAAAACTAGAGGTATGAGGCTTTAAAAGACTTCTTAGAAATGAAATCAGTGAATGGTTTACATAATCGGGAAACTCCACCACTCAAAATACAGGCTAAGGAATGCACTTAAAGTATGTGAAAAATCTCCTTGCATTAAAAAGCCTCAGGTATTTGAAAGTTCCACCAGTACTTTGGCATTTTAAGAGAAATTCAAGCGTGTTTTCCCCCCTTTGAAAGGTCTGTGAACTGGCAACTGTGAAACGCCCTCAAGAGAGAAGCTACATGCTCCAGCGTTGGCAGGATGACGGAGGTGTGATGATAATAGGCTACGAGATGTATCGGAACCTTGCACAAGGCAGAAATGTGAAGAGTAGGAAACTTAAAGAAATATTTAATAAAGCTTTAGTTGATCCAGGTATGTGAAAACAAATAAAAGTATGCATTATATATAGTGTGCTTCCTGGTTTATATACATGAGCTGTAATCTTGCAAATAGAAATCTTGTGGGCAAATCACTTTGAACAATAATGTTAAGATTCATCAGACTTTCTTTGTTGTTTTTCTGCTGAGTTACAGAAATGGTTTTTCAGAAGCTACCCCATCTGCTTTTGTAAACAGACTTCTGTAACAGTCTTTTCTACCAAATCAAATGTAGAAATGACCGCAGGAATATGTACTTGAAACTTTTCCTAATAGGGGTCCCTTTTGCTGGCATTGCTTTCTTTGCATGCTAATTTGAAGTGGCTCTGTTGGGAAACTAAGGTTATTTTAACCTCGTTAGTTACAACCACAAGTTGCTTCATCCTTGGTAGGAATCTGCTGTTAAGGGAGCAACTACAGGTGAAAGATAGCTGAGGGTGTACCTTGGAAGGGTGAACAAATGGGTGTTACTGAAGTGCTAATGAACTGATTGCAGATAAAGCACTTAATTGATTTTTCCAGGCTTTTAAGATTTAATCAAGCTCAGAAGGTGCAGCACAGGGAGCCTTGTAGGTTTTGAGTAATTTCGTATGAATGTGGAAAACCTGTCATTCTCCTCATGGACTAGTTGGTTGGTAGGATGGAATTGGACCTTTAGGAAAACTAACCTCCAAATAACTCCATAATTATTTTCATACTTCAAATCTTTCCCTGTTTTAACTAATTACAAAAAGTCAGAGGTGTTCTTCTGTTGCTATCCATTAGTTTTTGGAGACATTCAGATTGGCTAAACTGAGAAGTATCTTGCAATGACTGTTACTTGTTTCTTGCTATCTTCAGCAATCAGCACTGGCTATATAACAAGCAGGCTGCCAGGAAAAGAGTTATGAAGGTTATGTGCTGGCTTACTGCTGTGACTGTAAATAGGAAAACCTTTGCCTCTGGGAGCATTTTTAATTTAAAAAGCTGCAAATTTGGTACTTGAGCGATAATTTAATGATACGTGTCTGTTGAAAATGAGTACTGCTAAGGTAGGCATATTCTGTAGTAGAAGCCTGTATTGAAGAGGGGACCAGAGAGGGAAGGTTTAGCCAAAGTTTATGGGTGGAGAACTGATTTCATTAATTAACTAGCTCTGCTATGTGAAATAATAGCAGGATTATATATGCATACAGAGCAACAAATGGTTTCCCATAATGCTCTGTGCCACTGCTGAAATGCTGTTTGGTTTATTGATAGCTGTTGTGCTTTGCTTGCAGCATTTCAATAACTTTGTATTTTCTTACTTGTTGCCACTAATAAAAATTCCATCACTGTTTAACTTGGAAGCTGCTCTTTAATTGGCAGTTGTATAAAGCAGACATAAGTTCTTGTGGAGCTCAGAGGAGAGGAACTGTGTATATCTATATATCACTGAGTACATTTTATGTACATAAATGTATTAACGTGTGCAAGTACAGCAAGAAGGATAAGCAGACGAAGACTGTGATCTTTGAGGAAAGATTGAGGGAGTAAGGCATTTTAGCCTAGAAAGAGGCGACTCAGCTAACAGAGTTTCCACCATGGAAGAGATGGTTTCAGAAAGGACTGTTATCAGTTGTTTTTTTACATTAGCTGGGGAAAGGAAAGGTCAGAATTTATTCTGATGTGCATTATATTAGGTATTGGATCAGTGTTTTAGATAAAGACAGGTCATGGAGTTTCATACGTCTGTCAGGGAGGACATGTCCCTTTGTCGTAACTCTTATCTCAGATGAAGAAAATGGACTAAGTGGTGCCTTGAGGGCCCTTTAAGTTTTACATTCCTCTGTGATACTTGGAGAAATGTTCTGTCCATAATGAATTGCATTCATGTTTTCTAAGAACAAGGCAAAACCCCACAAATTCATGAAAATCCCTGCCATTGAATTATAGCCAAGATGTTAGTTGAAGATACCAGTGCTCCATGCCTGCCAAACAAACCACAAATAATGGTCCTAAGGTAGTGTTTTCATATTTTTACTCTCATTCACATACTCTAAACAGAAGATTTTGAGGTGGGTTTTTTGTTTCTTGTTTTGGTCTTTGGTTTTCTTTTTTTTTCATGTTAGTGAATCACAGTCTTGACTGAAACTGGTTTCTGGGGGATTTGCACAATTCTGATTGCTATCTCCCATTTAGACGTCATTACGCTTGTTCTCTGTGATTCTGATTGCAAACATAATGTACTAGACCAAGTCAGTTTCTGAGAATGGTACATTCATGTGCAGGCTGTCACATCTGGTGGGGAGATACTGCAAATCCTTGCAAATGCTTTCGTTCTAGAAGCTGGCTCCAAACCATCTCAGTAGTACTGCACACTGCATGGACAGCTTCACTGCAGGGTCCTTTCTTTTCAGGAAGTACTAGGCTGAGGACTAGAGGAAGGATCTGTCACTGTGAAGAGGTGTTTGTTGGAAATTAAAGGAAGGCTTTGTGTGGAGCCACTCTGTTTTGCATGAAGTCAAAACTGGGGAAGATACAGAAATTGTGGACTCACATGGGGAAATGTTTCTGTAGCAGATGTGAAAATCCAGAAATAAGTAGGCTTGGACAAGTCTAACTGTGTTTGGAGTTAATGTGTGAATTTCCGTAGTTGTCTTCTAGACTTGGTTAAAAAGACATGATTTTTCTGCTTGGAAAAGGTTATCTTCTTGATGCCTTTTCTGTTAGCATTTGAGATTCTAATCACTTCTTGACACTTACAATGGCCCTGGCATTAAATCCGGCCTGTGGTCAAAGCTCTGATTGCTTCTCAGTTGTTGATCACTGCCCTAGAAAAACTGTTCTTAGGTTACAAAAGGTGAGCTTGTCCATGCTGGTAAATATTCCTTTGCCATCTCAATTATCAACCTGTTTAGAGCTGAATAGATAAACCCAGCTCATGGCTTTGTCTCACATGTTTCAAAGGTGCATAAACGTGACTTTGTGGTTGATAGTACTGGAATTGAGGTCAGGTTTAGAGCTGGTAAAACATTCTTTCTAAGTTACTAGTTGGATCCTAGAACATATTTTACTTCTCCTTTCAAGGAAAGAGCTTCCAGAAATGGCCCCAAGTCTGAAAACCATTAGTGTGTGTAAGTCTGTGCTGCCAAGTTTAGCATTATTTGTCTTAAACCTCAGTTGTAACAGTTAATAATTCTGTTAGCGTTGCTTTGCATACTGGTGGAAATGTCTTGTGGTGTGGCTTTGACATTCCTTGTGCAGCTCACCTAAAGAAGCGGTCTAGAATCCTTGGGTTGATCTTCTGGAAGAAAGCTGAGGACATTTCTGTGGTGACTTTCAGCTCCAAGGTGGCAATTCTCTTGTCTTTAGTTAAAATCGGATTTGGTTGTGTCTTACCTTAGACAAGGCTGTTGATTGCACTGGTTACCACTGTTGATACTCACCTTAATGAAAAAGTTAGTGGTTACCCAGTTCTTGGTTTACTTCAGACTTGACCAAGTACCAGTAGATGGCAGCCTAAGGTGGAGTTAAGGAAGAGTTTCATGGTGATTTGACTGGGTGAATGGGGATGGAGCCATGCACGTGCTCGCTGCACGATAGGAAATTTTTACAGGAATATATTGCAAAGCTGTATTTAATCCTTCCCATGAAGAGTGTACGAGGAACACCCTGGAGTTCACCAGTATGGCTGCTCTGAATGCCTGTGCAAAGGCTGAGTGAGAACCCACCACAAAACACACACAAAGTTAAAAATGAACAATAACATCGGTAGAACAAATGTTGCATTCTTTAGGCTGCCACTTTCTCTGTGGTTATAGAAGATTGGAGAGATACAATCTTATTTCTTTCTAGGCCCCGACTTCGTTGTTTGTGATGAAGGGCACATACTAAAAAACGAAGCGTCTGCTGTTTCCAAGGCAATGAATTCTATTCGATCCAGGAGAAGAATAATTCTCACAGGAACACCACTGCAAAATAATCTTATAGAATGTGAGTAGCTGTCTGGTGTTTATTTCCTTGGATGTACTTTTGCCTTTCAGCAACATCTAGATACATTCAGTTTGATGAGAAGTAAATAATTTGATACAGTAAAGCTGTTTGCTAGGCTTCTGTGTCTGAAACAAAAAAGCCTAACGGTCTGGTTTTGCATTTTAAATCGTTGTGTCAAGATGTGGCTCCGTCATGGTTTAAGCCAAAGGAAAATGAAGCTTTTGGGAATCTGGCCTTTCCTTCATCCTTTCCCTTGGCATGGCCTTACGTGCATTGATTCCACAGGGAGCCTGTATGAGGAGTATCAGAAAATTCACAACTCAGAAGTGAACAGCTTTCTGGCAGTTTGGTTTTTTGATCTGGTGAACCAAAGGATCAGATGAGTCTCAGCATGTCAGAAGGGGAAGTGAGAATGTTCAGAGGGAAAATGGGTGGACCTGGTCTTGCAACAGCATCAATTTAAGTTGTTTTAACCCATTGTAGAGCAGTATTTTTAGTGAACTTGGAGAACAGTGATTTATGTTACTGTTTTGGGAGTTTCATTCTAAACTAGCCTGTAACATTTGCTCCCATTTGCTAGTATGCTGGAGTGTTTTTTCCTATTCATTACTATGCTGTTAAATCTACTTAAAAATCTTTGCAAATATAGTTTTCTTAGATGATTACTTTGGTGCACAGCAGCTTTCCAACTGTGTGTAACAAACACGGTGCCTAGAGAGCGTGTCAGTTCAAGATGTCCTTTCTGAAAATACTGGGGTTGTTAGGGTTTATTCTCAATAGAAAGTCCGTAGTTGTAGATGCAACACATTTATTTCCTGGTAGAATTAATCCCAGTGCTGTACTTTCTGTTTTGAACACCTCAATTCTGACCTTTCTGTCCTAGATCACTGTATGGTGAACTTTATTAAGGAGAATTTGCTTGGTTCAATTAAGGAATTCCGAAATCGATTTATAAACCCAATCCAGAATGGTCAGTGTGCAGATTCTACTCTGGTAGATGTCAGAGTAATGAAGAAGCGTGCACATATTCTCTATGAGATGTTAGCTGGATGTGTTCAGGTAAGAACAGTTCTACTATAACTAATTACTTGAATTAGCTGCAGGGAGGGGGAGGGATTATTTAATCTTGTTCTGATAAAAGCACTTAGAAAAATGTCATAGCTTTTATCCAAATGTCAGTGTTTCCTAAGCAGGACATGCATGTACATTAGAGAATACAGCTGCTAAGAGAGTAGAAAATTACGTGGTAGAGTGGGACGTCAGTTACTTTGAAATGTTCTGTTTTAATTGCATACATTTGAAGAATACAATTCAACTGCCTTAAGAACTGCACAGAAAGTTTGTGATCCACAGTTTGTCACTTGGTTCTGAGCTCCTTGTTCTGATCTGTGAGAATCAGAACAATGGGGAAGAGGAGAGAAGGAAGATGGATGAGGTCCAAAAGGGTGAAGAACCCTTAAAGACCTTAGATGAAGAAATCCAAAACTGCTTAGAATTTCAGAATGAGGGCTCTTCAGTTAACCTCCTATGGTGCTGCACCTTCTGTGTTGACAGCATGAAGTTACTGCTCATCTGCTTTATAAATCCAGTCACCAGAAGCCTGGTTGAAGATGTGACACTCTAGGCAGTAAGTGCCTCTTCTGCCTGTGCAGTTGTTGGTAGTTGATGAAATGCTCCAAGAGAGCGATGTGTAAGGCTGGTAGAGAACCTCCTATCGTAAAATTCTGAGGAGATATGAATAGTAGTGAGAGGATAGTGTGCACAATTTTACACATCTATACAGCAGTACAGGAACACAAACTGAAAGAACAAGAAGAGAAATGTAAATAGCAAGTAACTCTTAAATGCCTTCAGGTGCTGGGCTCCCATGTTTGTGCAGCATTGGAAGGGGCCCAGAGAGATTTTCTCACATTGAGCTGAACAGAGCAGATCCTGTCCCTAGAGAGCAGCCCTCCCTTTTGGTCATTTGAGATACTGTATCATTTTTTCCTTAGAAGAAAACAACTGTGTTCCCAAAGGATGCTCTCTTGAATGCTTCTTGCTGCACTTGTAGATAACAGCAAGGCCATGCAGGTGGCATAATCACTGGTCCTAAGTGGGAGTGCCTGCAGGCTCCTGTGTTGCAGTGTGCTGGCTGAGGTTATTCTGCAGGCAGCCAGGGAGCTGTGCAGGACAGCACAGGCAGGTTAGCTCTGATGAAGGTCACTTAAGTCAGAAACGCCAATGGTGTCTCAGTCAGGATCAGTAATACACTGCTCACTGTTTGGATGAAGGGGTGGGTGAAGTAGACCGCCATAAGACTCCAAAAACTGAGACTAAAAGTAAATTGTCCATTTCCCCAAGCAAGTATTCAGAAGAAACTCTGTATGCTAAACCAGAAAATGGTTAACATGAGTGTGAGTTCATCTGTGATAGACATTGATATTCGCTGCTTGACTTACCCACGCTTTCACAAACAAAGGTTTTAGTACTTTAAAAACCCCACAAAAGTAGTTACCAGAGCAGCTACTGAAGTTGCAGTCAACTCTGCAAGGACTTGGAACTGGGACATGGGTTATCAGGTCATTTACTTTTAACCAGACAACTGCATTTACTAGGTAAGATGGGCTTCTGCAGACAGTGCCTGGAATTGAACTGTATTTAGTGGGCTATTTATTTCCCTTTGTGGTTGGAAAGCATCTGAATCATTGTAACTTATGCATGGTGCTTTGTTGTTTAAAGAGTTCTTAAGTTCTCCTTCGATGTTTTCATGTTTATGTGACTAAGGTACTGTTTGTAAAATTACAGAGGAAAGATTACACAGCATTAACAAAGTTCCTCCCACCAAAATATGAGTATGTTCTAGAAGTTCGCATGACGCCTATTCAGTGCAAACTCTACCAATACTATTTGGATCATTTGACAGGTATGTGCCTACAATTCCCTCGGGTAACGAGATCGATGGCCATTTAGTAAGGGGCTTTTTGCCATTGTTGGTAGGTTGAGGGGTTTTTGTATCTATTATTTGCTCTACAGATGTATTTTTCTGCTTCCTGTAAGATTCACCTTCGCTCTGAGACTTGTATTGTGGCAAAACCTTTGTTTGCAGATGAAAAAATATTTTTAAGGAATAATAATATTTGCATCTCTGAAGAGTAGCCCACCTCCACGATTTGGTTCATCTCTTGTCTTCCTTTTTAAAACAAAAAATGTATTTGATTTTATGTCTCACTCTTCCAAGAAACAAGATGTTGACTGTAAGACTGGAAGGAGAGAATGCAGGATTGAGATGCACTGGTGTAAGCCACTGCCAGGCCTTGCAGTTTACTTTAGTCATCATGCTAGCTGAAGCTGTGATTTGTTAAATACTGGCTCTTTTGTGGAACTCTCAATTCGTTTGTTCTCAAGCCCCACAAGTCTGGTTTTCACAATGTCCATGCTTTTCATCAGCTCTCGGTGGTGTCTTGACTGGTTTGTCCTGGGGGATTTGCATCTTCCCAATACATTGTAAATTTGTTTAATTGAAAAGGTGTGTAAGGAGAAAACCCATAACCCCAAAACATGTTACTGTGGGCTGGTGTGCTGCTCACCTCTATTATTGATAAGCCACTGCAGCTCATAACTTTAGTATGTCAAAGTATCAGAATATCAGCACTTCTAAGTGATACACGTGTATGTACCACATAGACTATTAGAACGGAAATCTCAAGGTTTTCTGTACCACTGTGCTACATACAGCCAGTTTCCTCAGCAGCAGTTTTTGGGCTCTGGCGCAATTCAGATTGCTTTAAATACCATTTATAATAATGGACTTAATGATGTGGGGTTGAATTCCATAGTCAAGAATATTTAAGGCACTGCTGGTAGGATTTTGTCTAAAGCTTGAAGCATGTATTCACTTTTTGCAGTGATTTACTATGTAGTCTGTTGTGCCAGTTTACTGTATTTTTCTTGCACTGCTGAATCACCTGTCTGAAAATGCCTGTCTAGTGCTGAAGGATTGATGAAGGATTTGAGGGTTTAACCTGTTCTGGTTACTCTTCCAAGTTTAATTACAAGAAAGATTAATTGTATTTCAAATTAAGCTATGATTTATAGCAGTATGAAATTCACTATGTTCTCTTAATGACTTCAGTTTCTGGACAGTGCGGTTTGTGATCTCCTACATAAACTGCCAGCTAGACTTCATTTCCACACTTCTGTTGCCAATAGGATCTCTTGGGTTAAGTTATAGAAGTAAAGAGTTTTGGGACCAGGGAAGAACGCCAGTAATAATTGGATGCCTAAAAGCCAACTGCCCCCTTTGTCCTTGTACTCTAAAGGAGGAAAAACTTCGTGTTTTACTGAAGCAAATACAGAATAACCAAACAATCTAGTATCTTAAAAATGATAAACATTGGCTATTTGCTTATTATCTTAAATGATTTAGGTTAAATCTTTGTAGCTCTTTATAGGAACTTTTTCATCACACCAGTACAGTAGTTCAGTAGGTTGTCTTTGGCCTATCTCCAGTACAGAGCAGGGCTGGTTTTGTAGTCTCAGGCTGCCCCAGCATGGATTTTGTTGATGTGCTGTGCCTTCAGATAGCCATATAAACCTTTTACAGATCATTGATCATTGTAAGAGCTTGTGCTGTGTGTTTACAACTGGTTTTACAGAAGTCTTTACATACAGTGGCTTTCAGCACTTCCTTTCTTAATAAAGCAGGCAGCAGGTAAGAAGTAGGAGCCCTTAGTTCAGTGTCTGTTAAAGTTACAGGCAGGGTTTGCTTTGGCGAAAAGCCTGTTGCAGTGAGCTTCAAATTTGCTATGTCAGAGCCATTAATTTATTAACTGTTGTGTGTAAGTAACTGTTAAGAAAATGCACTGCCTAGCAGGTAGTTTAATTAATCTACCTAGATTCAGGGCTCAAATTCAGGTTTAACTAAGTTTGCATTTGTCAGAAGGCAGTGTACTGTTTCAGGACTTACCAGCCCTTTGTGGGCTTCTTCTACTCCCTAAAGGAGGAGAAAGCGTTACCTGCTTTCTCTGTCTTCATCTTGGGTTAGTGTCCTGCCAGTTTGGTCAGCTCAGTGCCAGAAACAATATGAGAAAGAAGAGGGGAAACAAGAGAAAGGAAAGACAAACGGCTTCTTTAGAGGGGAAAAAGCGTCTAAGCTCCCTCCCCATGGCTCAAGTCTTCAGAGCAAATCTCTGTTAGTTGCTGGTGTCCACATTAATTCTTTGTATAAGTCTTCAAAAGATTTCCATTAAGTAAGAAAAGGTCTCACTGCTGAAGATGCAGAAGGGGATTTGCTGTTTCTTGTGGGCAAATGTTTAAAACTACTGTTTTTTTTTCTGCGCAGCGTAACAGACACAAACTAAAATTCACATTTTTAAATGAAAGTTTCCCAAGTTTTTCCTTCCTTGAATCGACGTGATGCATGTTTTCTTGCATGTCTGTAATATAGAAAATTAAAAAGTCTGTAGGACTTGTGAAGTCGAAATGTGTTGGCAGCAGGTGTCTCTGTGATGTTAGCTCAGGTTTAGGGAAGTTCAGTCTAACAGTTTCTGTTGCCCTTACAATTCCATTTCCTCAAGTCCTAGGAGAGCACAAGCAGGAAGATAGTTGAGGCTGCTGTATGATTAAAGCATAGCAAGAACTTGCCTTGTTAAAATACTTATAGATATTTACTGGATGCACAGAGTAAGCTTCGTGCCTGTTTTGCTGTGGACATTTGATGATTATGATGCAATAGATACTATTCTCTTGCAGCTATACATGCCTTAAAGTCATAGAATAAATTTGAAAACAAGTCTGTTCCAAGAACCTAAGGTTAATATGCTGCTTAATGAGAAATAGAGACTACAAAACAGAATTGTAACTGTCTGAACATTGCACTACTTTGCACTAATATGTGCCTAGACAGTGGAAAAATAGGCTGGGCTTTTTTTAGATTCTTTATTGCAACAGAATGCTGCAGCATTACAGCCATAAAATAAAGGTAGCTCAGAACAGTAAGCCAAGTTCATTGAAACCTAAATGCAAATTGTATTTTGTGTTTTCTACCTTGGGCTGCTTTTGTAAAACCTAAATAGACATGACTGTCATTTTAAGAGGATTTGGATTCATTCCTGTGCTGGGGAGAAATGTGCTTTTATGTAAAAATGTAATCATGTTTCTCATTATCAAGAAAAAGGGGAAAATCTAATTTTGACAACTTTAACTAGGAAAAAAATGCCTGTGACTCAGTAATTTGACCTCTTTTACAAGAGACGTTACAATATGATGAGCATCTGGAAAGAACACGCAGTACCGAGCTAACGGGTTGTTCAAAGGGGGAATAGTATGTGGCAAACTGGCTTCGAGGTTTCATTCTAAAACCTGAACTTTATTGTCAGGTGTAGGTGGTGGCAATGAAGGTGGAAGAGGCAAAGCTGGAGCTAAACTATTCCAGGATTTCCAGATGTTGAGCAGAATCTGGACTCACCCGTGGTGTTTGCAGCTGGACTATATTAGCAAAGAAAATAAGGTAAATTAGATATATCAAAATACACTCTATTGAGAACTTTCCAAATAAGCTTTGCCAACTGCTAGGTAAAGTTTCATCAAATTAATGGAAATCTTTGTTGCTGTGGGGTAATTTTGCTGCTGGTTTTGTCATATTTTTGTTCCTGGGATGTTGTCATTCTTGAAACATTTTGCAAGGCCAACTCTTTGTAGAAGTTACCATTGTTTAAATGAAGAATGAGCAGATGGCTAAAGGTTTAAGAAAAGCTTCTGGGCAAGCAGACTTAGTAAAATTTCTGTTTTTTTCTCTTTTGAGGGCTACTTTGATGAAGACAGTATGGATGACTTCATCGCTTCAGATTCCGATGAAACTTCAATGAGCTTAAGTTCTGATGATTATGCCAAGTAATTGAGTTTTTATTCGTTGTTGTTTGTTGGATTTGTTTCCCTAATAGAACTTCGGTGATTTCTAGAAACGTTTAATTTTATCTGTCTGTTAGAATATGTTCTCCAGCAGTAGAGTTTGGGCACACTAATGGTGCACCATGGTACCTTTCTAGGAAAAAAAAATCCAAGGGGAAAAAGCCGAAGAAAGAGTCTAGCTCAAGCGGAAGCGGCAGCGATAATGATGTTGAAGTCATTAAAGTCTGGAATTCCAGATCTCGTGGAGGTGGAGAAGGAAATGCAGAAGAACTTGGAAACAACCCTGCATCTGTTATAAAATCAGAGGAAGGTGAGTATAACGTAAAATTGAATCAAACACAAGGCAGCCTCATTTCGCAAAGGCGATTTGAGAGGGCTCTCTGGAATTCTGCTTCACTGCAAAATGGCAAATTCCTTAATTCCACGAACTGCTTCTCTCCGTACAGCTCCCACTACTGCTAAATACTTATCCTGGAGTAACAAGGGGCATCAGTTTAAATCTCAGGGGTCTTGGGTCAGGGAAGCTGCATAGGTAATTTCTTTTAATTTGTAAGTACTAAATGATACAAAGTGAACAGAGAAACTGTGCTGCTTTTCATCTCTTTTTAATATATTGGTGAAAGATTAATGGAAAGATTAAGAAATGTGCATGTCATTCGTTGTTGCACCTGGAGTTTGAAGTGGATGTTGAGCAAGCAGATACAATGCAACAGGAATATGAGACCTTTTTAAGAATTTAAACTACTTACATCCGTACATTTCAGTTTTGGATTTTCCTTTAATTATCCAGGGTTTGTCTCTAGTATCATAGAGCAGGTTTCCTGATTGTATCATTTCTTGTGTGTCTGTTCACTTTCCCTAAATAAATAATTTTGGAGGGACAGTTAAAGGTGAGAAGTGTTTTTATTTTGGTCCCCATCCAAATGACAAACATACTGTAAATGTGTAAGAGGAAGACTGTGAGAGTGTGTGTGTCCTGGATTCAGTACACACACATGGTGTGTATAGTAAAATACGTACCCATACAGATTAAATGTGTTAAAGCAAAGACTTGCATTATAGGCAGGGTGACTTTGTCTGTGGTTCACCTCTCTCATGCAGCCTTGTTCAGTTTAATGTAGGTACAGAGTTTCTAAGCATACATTTAGTGCTGCACCAGCTGAGGTTTGTGGGCAGACTTTCTATCTCACTACAGCTCTTGGAGGCCCTTCTGCAAAGTTTTGGGGTGAAGACAGAAATAGATAGGTGGTGTGTATAGGATTTTCCTACAGCATATCTAGGTCTCTTACTCAGTTTGTTCTTTTTTCATTCTATTACTGAAGAATATGTTCTGTAAAAGCTTGTATGAAGGGAAGCTCAAATGTGAGATCTGTCAGCATCGGTTCTATCTTGACCATGAACTTTACTGTTGTGTCATGATTGCTTTGCAGTGCATAGTGTGAAAATGTAAATGATTTGAATTGTTCATGAGATAGAACACTTCTACTGTTTAAGTAGCAGATCCAAGTTTCTGTGTGAAAAAAGTTAGTGTTATGAATCTAATCAGTCAATTTTTATCACTCTAATGGAAAGAAGGTTAAATTGAAGATCACAGAAATACCATAAAGCAACTTAAATCAAGAAAACATGCTTCTCATCTGCCTTTCTGGTTATAATGCTGAATGCATGCTTTCTCCTGGCTGAATTCAGAAGGAATGTAATGGGATTATCATTAAAGATTGCCATAGTCTGCATCAGACACTGTTGAGAGGTGATCCAGACTCCAGAAGAATTGTTTTGCTTGGTGCAGAGTTAAGTCAACAAAATAAACTTACAGTAACACGTTAAAAATGAGATTGTTCACAGGTATGTGTTTTAAGAGGGTTTATTAGTGTGCTAGCAGATGAGCAGACAAGAAACTTCCTCAAAGAATCGTAGAATCATGGAATGGTTTGGGTTGGAAGGGGCCTTAAAACTCATCCAGTCCCAGCCCCCTGCCACGGGCAGGGACACCTTCCACTAGAGCAGGTTGTTTCAAGTTTCATCCAACCAGGCAGAGCTTTGCATGGAAGGCAGAGTATGATGGTGCAATTTATTTGGGTTTTTTCCTCTGTTGTGAGTTAGCATAAAAGGCAGGGAGGAGTTGTTTTATCTTAGGGTTAAGGGTGGTTTTTTTTTCCTATATGCTAATGTTTTGTCTTTCAAATTAGTTTAGGAAAAAAAAGATCCAAAATCTGCCCCTAAAAAAATTAAGCTGCTTTTCACTGATTGCAACATTTATGGATGTGTTTTCAAAGATGCATGCTTGTTGGAAACAAAGCTGTTGATAAGTCCTCTTGGGGAAAAGATGGACATGGTAGAACTATTTGTCCTAATATCCTGCAACACAAAAAGGGGATTTGTGACTCTTACTGATGACTTGTGCTGTTGGTAGCTGCTAATTTGGTAGTTGCTAATAGTGTAAATGCTGTTTTTTCTTTGCCTAACTCTTTTCATACCCATTAATGAGGAAACGACTATGTAGTTCAGACATCCATAGCATTTAAATGGAGACCATGCCTTTATCTTTTGAAATTACTTTTATGTTGTTCTGTATAGGCAAAGCTACATCCTCTTCCAACCCTGGCAGCCCAGCGCCAGATTGGTACAAAGATTTTGTCACTGATGCGGATGCTGAAGTGTTGGAACATTCTGGGAAGATGGTGCTTCTCTTTGAAATTCTTCGAATGGCCGAGGAGCTTGGAGACAAAGTGTAAGGCAGTTTTTAATGACCTTATAAATGTGTTACTCTGACAGTGGTCTTCACTCAGTTTTCATAATGCTGAAGCTCAGTTTTCTGAAGCAAACGTGCATGCTACATTCATTTTTATCAGTGAGTTTTCCCATACAATGCATGTGTAGTCCACAAAACTCTTCCTCTGTGTCTGGAAAGGCTGTCTGTTTCGAAGGTAGTCTCAGAGTGAGGAGGGAATAAAAATAAAGCAATGCAATAATTCAGATAACCTCAGAGGTCAATTTTGTGTTTCCCTGTTTGTTTTCAGCCTAGTGTTTAGCCAGTCCCTAATATCTCTGGATTTGATAGAAGATTTTCTGGAGCTGGCCAACAGGGAGAAAACTGAGAAGCCCATTTATAAAGGTGGGTGTCACAAGTCTTTCTTCAGTCCAGAGGGAACAGATCTGAAATAATTGTTTTCATCAGAAGTACTGTATGCTCTGTACTATTCCTGAAGTTGGCAGGATTATCGGTCTCCTCTGCAGGTGGTCTCTGCTGTCCCATTATGGATTCACTTTTGATTTCATTCTGTTATCATCCATGCCTAATACGGCCTAAACAGATTAAATGTTCATCATTTGAAAGGAGAGAAGGCATTTTGTGATGTTACATGCCGATGCATGGCAAATTCTGATCCTTCCTACTGGGAGTGAGCTAATGAAAGGAAGTCAGACTGCTTTAAAACAGGGTGTAGAACATGCAAAATGTGAATTTAGGCTTCAAGTGTTCTTCGGTAGATTATTTTATGTATTTCAAAAGGAAGCAAAGTACTGTATTAATTGTTATCCTAGCGATGCTCAAATGGCAAGGAATTTCTCACTAGGGAGCCATGTCCTCTTGCATAGGATGTTTTTTCTTTTCACTCTCAGATCCTTCCAGAGCTCCTGATGTTGCAGTTCATCCTTATGTAAAGTTTCAGTTCCCAGTACATCTGGAATGAAAAATTCCTTTGAATCTGAATTCCGTTCAAATATCTAAGTGTAAACATGTTGAACAGTTGTGTAAGAGCAGCGTGGCTTGGTGATACCGACACTCATTTGGTGAAGGTCTCAACTGTCCGTCACAGATCTGTTGCTTCCTTAGCTTCTGAGCATTTGTCATCTTCAGATGTTATCAGCTGTCTGTATTCTATGGAGTTTGTGCCTTTAGTGTGGTACAATGTTTTAAGGGGTAGGGTTTTTTATCTGTGGTTGTTCTTTTGTTAAGGACTTAGACTGTGTATCGTAGCAAGATTCACCACATAGAGGCTTTCCTGATACAACTCAACAATCTCTTTGTCATAATGTCATTACACTGAGCAGTGCTGTCTCCTAAAAAATGCTGTTTTGTTATCATTGATGGCACGGTGGGGTTTGTGTTTCTGTACCTCGATGGCTGATGAAGATGAGAGGTTACGTGTGAAGTGGGGAAGGGATAAAATCCTCTGTCAGCTGTAATTATGTTTTCCCCATCTGGTAAGAAGTATCCATAACTTACAGGGTAATAAAGAGATTTTTCTGAGTTTCAGTTCCCAAATGATCAGACATTGCCTTTTGAAATGCCCTTTGCAGCATTTACTTCCGAATACTGTTTGTATGGGAGAGGCTTACTTAGACTAATCATGTAACATCAGACTACACCAGTCAGTTTTAAAAGCACAGTTAGTACTGTAATGCCTAAAGAGTACATGTAGTTACATTTTGAAATGAACTTTGGCTCAAGTTAAGGTGTATCTTTGCAAATGTGCCTCTACAACTAGAAATAGTGAAAAATAAGAGGAACTACCCCACATAAGCTCAGGCCTTTTCAAATACTTCAATTTAAAATTAATCTTGGAAATTAATTTGATCATAATTGGGTATATTTAAATTCCAATCTGTCTAAAACTGCTTTGAGGAGTTTTATTTCATATCAGTTGATCTTTTTGTAAGAAGTAATATCAGAAGAAACAAATAGGGATAAATGCTGGGTACTTTTTGCAACCTGAAATAATATTGACAACATCTATCTTAGTCTTTTTTTGGATCATTTTAGACAATATTGGTTTAGGGTTTGTAGAAGCTATTGAGGGCTTGTGGATGATCATCGTCGTCACAAATGTTGTTGCTATTATTTTCTGTCACGTTACATGTTTTATATTTATATATATGTCACCTTACATATATTTATATACAGCTATGCAGGCTGTATCGCATCATTTTCAAGGCATGCCTGTGGCAAGCACCTGTATCCTCCAAAAATGTTCTCTATCTTGAATAACCTAGAGTCTTCTTTCATTGTTTTAAAATGCCAGAGAGAAGTGCATTTTATGTTCCATATTTGTTCTTTTACTATTTGGAGTTGTGTATATCCAGTATTATCAGTCTGGTTATTTATGCAATCAGCATTTTAATTGTTTGACTGTTAAATCTGTAGGTGAAGGCAAATGGTTCAGAAACATTGATTACTATCGCTTAGATGGTTCAACTACAGCTCAGTCAAGAAAGAAATGGGCTGAGGAATTTAATGATGAAACTAATGTGAGGTGAGATCTGTTCTGAGATATATATGTGTGTGTGTATATATATAAGCGTATATATATATGCTTAATTTTCCCACTTCTCTCTTTTGTTCTGTAGTTCTTTGCTATTTGTATTAGTGTAATAACCTCTTAAGGCTAGAGACTGAATGTCGCAGTGTTGTCCAGTGCAGAACTTGTATAAACAACAATAGGTTTCTGATTTCCTGAGATTATTTCCATTTCTGCTGATCAATACTTGTTCAGTATTTCCGTGCTGTTTTCATTCTTACTTAGCTTTTAAACACTTGGGGTCAGAGAGAATCTTTTTAATTACAATTACCTAAAAGGATACAAGGAGCAAAGAAGGTCAGAGCCCTGTGGAGTCTGGCCAGGAGACAGCAGTCACTTGGACAGTCAGAAGCATATAACTCTCTTAGCTGTCTCCAGAATTGTCCATTGCTCATACAAGATGGGACTTTCAAGTCTGATTTGGATAGGTAAACAGATACAAATTTGTGTAAGTTTAATGAAGTTAAGGAGTTTCACCTTCCTAGATATATTTAAAAATTAAAATACGTAGTTATCTGGCAGTCATTTATAATGTTAAGAAAATAATAATAAAAGTTAAACAAGTAATTCAATGTTAATACTCTTAAATAGTTTGTTCTGTCAGGTGCATGTCGAACTCATTTTAAGTTAAACTCGACTGAGATAGTATGCAAAAAAAAGCAGATACATCAAAGAGACGGTGTCATTCCAGAGTTATCCTGAAAGTTTGCTAGCCAGGAAAAAGCTTCAATAGCATGGGATATGCCTGTTTAAAATTATGCTTTAATTTGATATAACTAATTTTATTAGAGTTTGAAAATGCAAACCCAACAATTTTTTCTTCCCCACCAGTAAGAGCTGGTTTGCAAAAGGGCCCTGATCTGCATCTCTGGGAGTGTACATTTTGCTCAAAGTGTTGTCCTTGTAAATCTGCATCTGTTTTATGCTTAATGCAGTGTTTTAACGAAGTCTTCGAGTTATTCCAGTGTGTGAACAACTGCACAGTAACACAGCAACGTGGGAGCAATAACTGGTTTCCAAAATACTGACATTTTGCAACTTTTCTCTGTTCCAGAGGCCGCTTGTTTATCATATCCACCAAAGCAGGTTCCCTCGGAATTAATCTCGTTGCTGCTAACAGAGTAATCATCTTTGATGCGTCTTGGAACCCATCCTATGACATCCAGAGTATTTTCAGGGTTTACCGCTTTGGGCAGAACAAACCTGTGTTTGTGTACAGGTTTTTGGCTCAGGTAGGTTTCTGACTGCTATTTTTGTGATCCTCTGGTCCTGCAGTCAGATTTGTGAACTGAACTGCTTGGACCTGGGTTGAAGCCTGCAGCAGTCCACACTGAAACAGTCATCTTCCAGCCTTAAGCTGACAGCAGTATATGGCCACTGAAGAAAGCTCTTGGAAGATGGGCAAAATAAATAACAACTGAAATTATTTCCTGTTAAGCCCACATTGGCTTTTTGTGTAACCCAGATTCTGGAATTTTAGCAGTAATTCACACATCCAGACTCAGAAGAGTCTTCTCAGCTCTTGTCATTTGCACACCGCTAAAAAGCCTAAATCAAAGACACTGTAGAGGATGTGAGCCCCTGACAGTCCAACTGGAATGAAAACACAGGCAGCTAAAGGATTTGTTATAAAGAGGCATCCAGCCATGATTTGAAAACCTGTTTCACCCACTCTCATCACCAATTGAAGATGTGTAATGATTCTGATTTTTTTAAAGTATAATGCCATTATTTCTGTTAGGAGGTACCTTGTGTCATCCTCTGTTTCTTCAGCTATTACAGAGTCAACTGCAGACCTTTTCCCAGTAACAGTACTTAACTCTTGATCATGTCACTATTTACTTGCCAATTTAAATAGATTACTTTTTGTGACACACTACTGTCAGACATGGGTTTTTCCTTCAGGCTTCAGTCTATTTTTGTACTTGTGCACTTCTGAACCACCGAGATCTTTTTTAAATTACCGTGTTCAGAACAGGCTGTGCTGTTCTCATACTTCTCACAGTCATCATCTTTTTAGGAAAAAAAAGAGAAAGTAATTTTCCTTTTTTCATCAAGGATCTAATTTTCTCATACACAGCTGTGATGAATTAGACTTGACTGCTTCTCTTCCTTCTCCTCTCCACCCCAGTGGTATGGTATCTGTTTTCCTTTATGCAGGCTGCTCAAAGCAGCAAAATAGGGTACATGTTGAGGAAATTGCCATTTTTTTTGGCATAATCCTACTTTGGGGAATTGAAGCAAAACCAGATCTGTTCAAAACACTAATGAAAAAATACGTTTCTCAGTCAGATGACATATGTCTTTGGGTTTTCAGGGAACAATGGAAGACAAGATCTATGATCGTCAGGTAACAAAGCAGTCGTTGTCTTTCCGGGTTGTCGACCAGCAGCAAGTGGAACGTCATTTTACTATGAATGAGCTTACAGAGCTGTACACCTTCGAGCCAGATTTGCTAGATGATCCTAATTCAGAAAAGAAAAAGAAGAGAGTTACACCAATGCTGCCAAAAGTAAGTTGATGCATATCACTAGGAATTCCATGCTGCAAAAATAACTTGCATCTGTTTAAGGACATGGGGTATTTGATCTTCGAAGAAGAGTGCTGTGTTTTCACCTCAGAGCAGCGTTCTTCGCTTTGAATGGAGCTGAATAGCAGGAAACACAGTAAAATATGTAATAAATACAACGGATGGTATAACGAGCTGGGTAATGAGTTTCCCTTCAGTGCAATTACCTGTGTGAGAAAAGAATCCTCAGTTAAAAGACAGTTTTAAATCGGAACAAACAAAAATACTATTTCACACAGTTTGAGTGAATAGAAGTTTTACTGCAGGAAGCTGTGGAAACCAAGATTCAATTAACATCTAAGTGAGTTGGTGCTAAATGAACTTTGAAGTTCATAGTGGTTTGTTTTCAGTGAGGCCTGCCTAACTCTATTTGTAATGGATGTGGCATGTGTAGCAGTGGTTCATTGTCACTGCTCTGGATAATGAACCACCGTGCAGAAGCGTAGTGGTTCGTTAGCCTTTGTGATTCTTCAGGAACTGAAAAATTTCTTAACTGAATTTAAAACTAAAACCTGTACATTTTACAGGCAGGCAGGAGTAAACTTCAGGGAAAATAATAACTGATCCAGGAACTTCATTATTCTTTTCCAAGTCAGTTTTATTTAAGATGAGGCTATGCTTTTGTACTTTGTCTAGTTTATATATTCTTGTGGATGTGGTCTGCTAAAGACTAATTCATCATTAAGCTGTTGGGCAGCTGTCTTTGCTTCTTTTACTGGGTGAATAAGTAGTAAACAGTAACACGTAAATGTGTGGCCCATAGTTAAATGGTTAAATTTCTAAGTTACTACTGTGTTTAGGTTGTTATACAGTGTATGTTGGGAGGAACGGATTCCAGTTTGTAAATCTGTTCATTTCCAAGGAAAAATGTTATGTTTTCCATTCTAGACTGTCTGTAGACGACTGTGATACCATGTAATAGATCGTGGTCAGGCATCACACTGGCGTTCTTAATAGTTAAGCCACTCTCTGAAACAGTCTCTTGGACCACCTACAGCGTCGGTGCAGCTGCCGGGGGGATTTAGGAAGTGTTAGTTCTCTAAGTGTTAGTCGCTGTTGCACATGCATTTTAAAGCCTTGAAAACAAACTTTAATGACTACACCTAAGCCTCTTTTTATTGCAGTGTTTCTCACTGTAAGCAGGAAACTGTAGATAACAGAAAAATTGATTCTACCTTTTTTTACTATGCTGTTCATTTTTATTTGGGCAAATTTGGGCAAAAATTCCCTCCTAAAACATCTTCCTTTAGGTTGTAATTAATAGTATTTATTTGATCTTTTTTATGGTCTTAGTTCCTGTATGCCATGTACATCTGTGATCCACAGACTCCTAGGTAACGCATCGCCCTTTGCTGTTACTGCTGCTTATTTTTAAGAAACTGAAACCAGATTGAAAAGCTGTGAAGCAGCTGAGCATGTTCACTCAAAGCAGTGATCAGCCCAACGCAGTAATTCTGTTTTGAGAGTTACTTGTTTTCTTTTACAATAATAAATCAATTAATGATTGAACTATAATGTAAAAGAGAAAGATTATAAACTCCAAGCTCGTGTTATCATTGTTTGAAATATTAGGTTCTATATTAGTTCCCTTCCAACCATCAGTGTAAGGTTTATGTAAGTTAAGATCAATGCAAGCTTTTAAGCCAAGTCCCTGGCTGTAAATAGATCAAATCTCTGTACTGGAATTCTCTTTGTTTTTTACATGGCTTTAGCAAATAGTATCGGCTGGAATTTTGTCCATTGAAAGATGTGTGTCTTTGTACACACTGTGTACAAATTTCTAATCCCTAGATTAGAATCCCTACAAATCATCTTGTAGATTAATCTTGTTTTAGCAGTTTCTGTATTTATTTGTTGAGAGCAGGGCTTTACATTCCTAATAGCCTCATGGAATATGGGAAGCCAGCCATTAACCCCCAAATACTCTTTCCTTTTCTTTGTCCCTCTGAATTAGTCCTGGTAGTGTAGAATGATGCTGGAGTTGAGAGCTGGAGGTGTGAAGTGGTGGAGGATGTACCTAGCGCCCAGCATGGGTTGGCAGAGTAGGCTGTGGCATGCAATGTAGCTGATGGTTTCATGCGTCATTGGTGTGGTTGTGGTGAAAACCTCTTTAAAATGCTGGGGGGGGGGAAGTGTTTCTAGGAGTGTTAATAAAAATCAGGTGTCACCATGTCAGGTATTGATTGCGATATGGGCTTTGGGCAGGGAGTCTGAGGCAGGAGCGGAGTGTGTCCTGTAAGGCCATCAAATACACACAAGTGGTGAGTTACCATGGATGAATAATGGGTAGTTCAGCCCAGGGGGGATGCCAAGTGAATAATTACATTCAAGGTGACTTCTCTGCTGGTTGGGCATTGACCTGCTTTGCCTGGATGGACAGTGCTTAGTGCCAAGGTAATACATGGTCACAAAGGACTTTATGTCAGAGAACTCCATTTCATTTGGTGCTTATGTTTACTATTTTGATGATCCTGCTTTTATTGTTATTATTTTTGGCTGTGTTTGTCTTCCCTGTGCAGTTCAGCTGAGTGGGATAATTTACTTTCATGTTATCCACAGTTAGATTCTTGCTCTGCACACAAAACCTGAGCTAGCCCAGTAGTTGCAGTGACTCCTTCTTGGATTCCTGTCATCTGTTTAATTGAATTCTGGCTCATACCTTATTTATAATATTTAAGTTCTATTTCCTATTCTGTCTTTTTCTGAGCTATTCAACTCCCTAAAATCCTACATAAATAATCAAAAGCAAGTATCAGCTGTAGGAAATAGTGCAGTGGATGTTATTCTTAAGGTTATTGATCCAAAAAGTTGACTAATCCTTATTTCAGTGTAATTTTAGCAGAGATGCATGATTTACCTTTATAAAACTTTTTAACAATTAAATGAATTTAACACACTCATAGCAAAGAGTGTATTAAAAAGACTGTTGATACGCTTATGAAAACATTTTATTGTAACATAGATTAATTTTACAGCATTTGGGGATTAAAGTTTTCTTTTCATGATGGTGCATGATGTTCTGATGCTTTGTTCAGGGTAAGTTCAGCACACCCAACCTGATCTCTGCAGCTCTTCTGTTTGGAAACAAAGGCCACTGCAGCTTTACCTGTATTACTCTTCCATCACTGAGCTGTCTATCCCTTGCTTACAAAGACTGAGCTCTTCCTATATAATTACCAGCAAAGCAGAATAGGCATTTAGGCTAAAAGAAGGCTTTAGTTCTGCCTTTTACAGGTTTTGTGTGTAATTGTCTCTCTTTGTCATCAGGCTTCTTTTTACATCTTCAAAGCATAGTCTGTTGAACAGTGTTATCATGGTGTAATTTTACTGTTGTGCAGACAGTAAAGTAAGGGATTACCTTTGTAATCCTTAGCATTGGTCTGAAATGCACAGTAAAAAGACATAAATATACTTAAAGCGTAGATGTGCGCTAATGGTGGAGATAGAGCTAGTCTCTGAACAGGTATGCTCAAATATCTGTTCTTTCAAACGTTTTGAATGCACGTTAACCCTTGGAACATGGGTGCAAAGCCGCTTGAAAATAGCATTTTAGAATTGCCCCCTTCAAAGCATGGGAATTCTGAATAGAAAGGAGGTGAAATGTGTTCCATCTTTTCTCCAGCCATGTAAGCACAAATGTGGGAAAACTTGGAGGGAGAATAGCTTTTCTGCTGGATGTCTAGAACATCTTGACTACAGTGACACCCCACAACAGGAAGGTTCTTTAGGTCTGCAGCCAGGAATCGTATATGTAGAGAAGGAAGAGGAAAGATGTTGAATGTTTCACGTAGAAGTCAATGGCGGATGTGCAGTGTGCAGTGTTCCTGGAAGCTTATCAAATTTTCATGTCCAGTTTTAATTTCAGCAGCAGTTTTCTGCCCTTTGTAGTCCGAACAAAACCTTCAGGTTGCCAGTGAGTGCACATAACTTCATAGTGCCCTTACCCTCTGAAACACCCTTAAATAATGTGAATATTTGGTTTTAACAAAGTATTTGTATTACGAATGTTGCTCACATGAATTACTAAGTTGGTCTTAACTTCCACTGCTTGATTTCATTCATCTGCAGTCCTTGCAGAGTTGAAAAGCACTGCTTTAGAAATTCAGTCCAAAAAAGGTGAACGGGTGTCTTGAATCTGAATAATCAGTCAAATTTGCTGTATTTAAGTCTAGAAATAATTAGTGTATATGGGCCATGAGCTTTATGCGGCTGTAGTGACTCAGTATCTAACACGGACCACAGGTATAAGCAGTTTTTGTTATAATTTCTGTAGAGTAGCAATTCAAAAGGAAAAGATGGTGTAAAGTGAGAAATTGTGTTTATTATGATTGTATTTTGGGTGCTACATTTTACTTTGCTCTGAATTTAACAGTGGATCTGGTGCCTTTTTTTAATCAGTCTGATTTATGACTGGGCTATTGCTTTGTTGGTTTGGTTTGGTTTAAATTCTTAACTTAGGCTCTCACAGCCTCTTAACACTCAAGCTCCCAGATGATCGTGTGCTGGGGGAGCCTTGGCTGGTGGCAGCTAACAGGAAGAAGGGTTTTCATCACAAGCACTGATAGCTGGACTCAGTGATCAGTGCAATACTTGTGGCTTGCCTTGGCCAGTGCACTACATGTTTCAGACCAGTGTGGGTGAGGTAGGAGCTGGGCAATGACAAAATGGGGCACTGCCTGTCCCTCGGAGCTGGTACTTTGCATCCTCTGTTCCTTGCTTATTCATTCTTCCCCACATCAGTGTGTTCAGTGGATTGGAGTCACAGTCACGTTTTTATGTGGAATGAAAACTTGGCTTGGTTGAGGTCATGTAATGCAGATGGGAAAAGCAGATTAAAATAATAGTTGGGATTCAGTTGGATATAGGATATCATTACTTTATACTACCTCAGGACGTAGCCAGGGCATGTGTTTTACTGTAGTTCCGTACTGGGGGATAAGTCTTGAATTTGGAAGGCTGTTGATCTCAATCAGAATAATTTGCTGCTTATTTAAATTCATTTTTATTTTTAACCCTGGTATTAAATGTTCAATTGGTTGAGGAAAAACTTGTTTATGAATTACAGCAGAGCTCATAGTCCTTCATGGAAGATTTCCTTTTTGATACATTTATCTCTCCATAGCATGTCCCTTCCATCAGGATTTTAAAAAGGCAAACCTTGTTTTAAAATTCAGAGCCTTTTTTTTTCAGTATCTCTTCATATTTTCATTCCTCACCAGGATTCCCTCTGAATAAACCAGTTGATAACCATTGTTCTACCAACAGGCTAAGAAAAGGAAAGGGAATACTTATTCTGATGATTTTTTTGTGTGTGTGTGTGAGGTAGTTGGTTTTATCATTGTAAAATTAAACAAACTCAATGGCAGCACCTTCCACATCCCAGTTTTCAAGCTCCATCATTAAAGTTAATGCAAAATAAAGTTTAGACAAAGAAAAGCAAACACACAGTTGGATGTAATGTAAACCACATTTTGAAGGCTGTGCTGGCTGCCTGAGTGTGGATTATATATCAGTATTGTTTTCAATAGTAGTGTTACCATGGAAGTTAATGCATATGCATGTCCGGGAGCGCTCACATGCTGATGTACAGCTATGGTATGCTGAGAGCACTTCAGTTGTGTTAGCTTGCTTAACTTCTTCACCTACTTCCTCTAGATGTTTTAGTCATATCCTCTTGCTGCATCCTTTTTCTTGCTCTGCCTTGTCTCCCACCACCCCAAAACCACCATTTTGTCCTTGTGCCCATTAGTCCTGCAGATACTACATTGAATGTTGTGTTGAGGAGCTAGTGATGAAAGCATTGATTCAGATTTAGTGAGACCAGATAGAAGGATGAACCAAAGACATAATGGGTTAACATAATGGAGTTTTAAACACATGCAAGCAACAACCAACCTTCTGTACCTGTTGTGACAGAACCACTGGTCAGGACTAGCACATGCAGTTCCCAGTGTTGCAAAAATCTGTTTGCTTGTGGGTAGAAGCCATTCTTTCCAATCATTGTTCTGTCTAGATCATAAAATATCAGGGTAGGACAGTTCCTATTCCTGTTTGTTCAAATGCCTTCAGAATAAGGGCACCATGTGGAGTATGTATTTGTGTACTGCAAGAAGTGTATTCAGTGTATTCACTGTAATTCATTTCAGGGGTGGCCCAAAAGTTCAGTGAGGTAATGTTTTTGTATTATGAACCTTTGTCTGAGTGCTGGGGTGTATTGGGGCTTTCTGAATTCTGGAAGCTCATCCGTGGTACAAGTGCATTTAAAAATAAACCATGTCCAATAATGGTCTCCAAAAGGGGCTTCCTGCAGTGCGGCATGAGTGGGGTTTAGCAGTCTTGTAGAGCGTGTGTTCCTTCATCATTGCAGCATTACCTTTGTTTTAACACAGTGAGGCGTCGTCTTTGAAAATACTTTGTAGAGACTGAAATGTTGACTCGGTGAGAATGAGTTCTGCAAACCCATTACTACCTACCTGGCAACATCAGCTTTTCACATTCATTTTCTCTGTCTGTTTTTATATCAGTTTTTCATTGGGACCACGATCTATGGTCATGTGGCATCTGCAGTCTGGAACAAGGGCAGTAGCAACTTAATATTGTGCTTAGCGTCTAGTTTGGTTTTGTTTCATTTAGGGACTGTTCAACATGGTGGTAACTCTGCATTCAAAAAACACTAAGAGGATTTACGTATCATTTTTTGTATTAGGAATCTTAGACTGAATGCTGAGCTATATTGGATATAAATACAGATACATGTGTGTGTATACATGTGTATACATAAATACAGATGCATGTATATAAATGTATATTATGCTTGTGGACAAAACCTTCACAATAGTTTGCCATTATAAAGGACATAGTAAATATCTTTGTAAACCTTAAAAGCAGTAAAGTGTTAGGGGTATTGTGGATTATAGAGGTCTAAATTGCAACCTGCTGATCAAACCCAGTTTATAGCAGTGATTTGACCTTTCTTAGCCCAGATGGGTTTATCTTGACGTGTATCTTCTGTTGAATGCTGATGGGCAGTTGGTTGACCAAAGTACTACTTAGCGTTTTAAATGCAGTAGAGGTGTTCTTTCCATATGGTAAATGCAGATTATTGATAGGTCCTCTCAGGTATCCAGCCTAAGCAAAGGAAAAATCATTGAGCACATTCCATTCTTTTTAGGTTCTTAAAGTACATTTATTGTTGTGGAATCCAAGTGCATTCCTGTGGTTCATTAAGTGATTGGACTGTCATCTCTGTAACAGATTGTTAATCCATTACCCTCCCTCTGAGGAAAACTGTACTTTGAAGTGATTTTGAAATTCTGCTTCTCTGTGGTCTGAGCTGCTCTTTGTGAAATGGGGTCGGAGCAGTAAGTTGGGAATGCACAAGGAATAAACAGAGTAGAGCTCTTGAGTGTCTTCTCATTTTGTTGTCTCTTCATTTGAACAGGATACAATTCTGGCCGAATTGCTTCAAATCCATAAAGAGTATATAGTTGGATATCACGAACATGATTCACTCCTGGACCATAAGGAGGAAGAGGAACTCACTGAAGAAGAAAGGAAGGCAGCATGGGCAGAATATGAAGCAGAAAAGAAGGTAAAACTGATCAGGTTTACAATATGAGAAAAAGCTTGTGCTTTTTTGTCGTCCCTGTTATTCCCTGTGTCTTGTTTATTTGATATTTAAGCAGGTGGCAGAATGAATAAAATGGTAAATTGGCTACAGGTTTGGGATCTTTTACTGTAAAAGGAATATGATAACTTGGTGTAACTGGAGTCTAATAGAAAATTCCTGGAAAGGCCAAGTTTGGTATTCAGATCTGAGCAGTCATCTGAAAGTACAAGAAGTCAGAGTATAAATTGCCAGTGACCATCATGAGTGAACAAATGACAAATGAAATGGAGTATTGGAAAAAGGTTTTGTGAGGGAGAAGAAATAGGAAGATACATAATACCATAAGCACTAAAATTGCCCTATGAGAAATCCATATGGGAGATGAGCTTTATATTTATAATTTATTTATAAATTATGCATTTCACTTCATCAAAATTTGATTAGAGTCAGGTCAAACTCAGCATTAAGTAGTGGGTTTGCAGTATAAAAATGAATCTTAATTTAAGATATACTGATAAGCCTTGGTCATTTTCTTTTCTTAGTGTGCCAAATAATTGAGCTAAATTCTGGTATTAGTGAAGTCTAGAACTTTGACTCTTCTTTGATTAAAACGTCCTTTTGAGTTGAGGTTTGGAAAGGATCTTCAATATATTGAGGTTGGCCTTCATGGGCAGTGTGCAGGGCCTGTAGTCTTCCCTAAGGGCTGGTTTGTCTGTGGGTGGTATCTCATGGGTCATTATAGAAGACCATGAATTATCAGAGTTATTCTAATGTAAGTGCATTTTGTGTCTTTAAGGGCTTGACCATGCGTTTCAACATGCCAGCTGGGACCAATATGCTTCCCACAAACTTCAACTCTCAAACTCCATATATTCCTTTCAATTTGGGTGCTCTGTCAGCCATGAGTAATCAGCAGCTGGAGGTAGGTACCAGTCCAAGTAGGGTAACATGTTTCTGTTGCTCCAAGCATACATGTTTTCTTTCTGTCACCCATAATGGATAATGTCATTGTTGAACATCTTGATATTTACATTATTGTATCCTATTTTTAAAAGGGCTTTTTTTGTGTGTGGCTATAGTGAAGTCTAATTTGTAGGCACATATACCTGTGTAGTAGTACCTCAGGATTCTGGAAGGTTAACTGCATTCTTTGCAGACATTAATTACCACATCTAGCTTTCTGCCTCCATCTGCCTTCTGCCCAAGAAGGAATGGGAAAGAACCCATAATCCCTGTACTGAGCGGAAGTGATTAAAATAGTGTGGAACAGGTGGTTTAAAAGCTGCCAAAGAGTGAATCTTTTGCTATTTTGTTTCTTGAAACAACTCCATTAGTTCCTGAGTCAGCTTTGAGTGGGCCGTCATAACCCGTCAGAGAATAGAGAGCATGCTTGTTTCTCTTGGGTTGCTCATAAATAGCAATTAATTAGTTTAAGGCTTGGGATTTTTTACTTCTTAAAAAGATCTGAATGTGCTACAAGTTGAGGTAATGCATCATTTACATGCAGGATAAAAATGGAAGTTTTACACAGAGATTTTAGCAGTATTTTTGGGGTGGCATGGTTTAGTGTGAGGTGTCCCTGCCCATGGCAGGGGGGTTGGAAGTGGATGATCTTAAGGTCCTTTCCAACCCTAACTATTCTATGATTCTATGCTCTGTTCCTCAGTCATCTCAGGTCCTGGTCTACCTTCTTAGCTGAAGTAGCTGAGGGTGTTTCTTCCTAATAAGATGCCATGCTATGAACTGCAGAATGTGAAGCACCGTTGACAGTTCTTATCAGAGTAGGTCTTGGGATACCTACCAGAGCCTGGGGAGAGCCTGTGCTAAAGAATTGAAAACCTCTGAAAAAGTTTCTAGATGAGGGAAACCTGAGCAATAATCACAATATATGCCAGTACTATGCTAAAACAGATAATTTAACATAATAGGTAATGTTTTGAGCACACAGAATGAGTTGAAAGTGTAACAGCATCAAAGCCAGTACCACAGAAAATTTGCCTGGGTAGAAATGGCATGCTCCTTTTATGATCTGGAAACCTTTGGGTACAAGAAGGGCTTTTTACCAATACTTCCCGCTGTATGAGGTGGCAGATTTATTCATGCTATTCAGTTACTCTGTGCTGAAATTCAGTTGTGTGGACGCTTAGACTCACTGACTTGTGCAAACGGAGAGGAAAAGGTAATTGAAGTCTAGGTACAAAATGTAAAAATTAATAAAACTTATAAAAGGATGACGAACGTGTTCTTTGTACCTGTGCTTTATAATTAATTTCTGGTGTTTCCTCAGGACCTTATTAATCAAGGAAGAGAGAAAGTTGTGGAAGCAACCAACAGTGTAACTGCAGCAAGAATTCAGCCCCTTGAAGACATCATTTCAGCCATAGTGAGTGAAACGGATAACTGTTGGTTTAGGTCAGGACACGGGGAAAATGTGCAATAGTGTCAGAGAAAGAAATGACTATTGTATATAGTCATTCAGCTAATCAATTTCATTATTAATGAGTATCATTTCCAGGTTGTATTGACCTTTATCCCTGCAGCTTGTAGTAACCCTCAATGGTATCTAAATGACAGAGCTTTAGAGGACTGGCAGCTTAGATCCATAATTATTTGCCGCACTCTGAAAATGCTGGTTTTCTACAAATGAGAATAATACTTATGCATAAATAAGATGTATTTTCTATAGCTTGTTCTTATCTATCAAGGTCTGCCGTATTTCTCACTTGCTTCTAATAGTCAAGAGGTGTTATTACCTTACTTAGCAGTTAGAAGAACTAGTAACTCATAGTTCTGATTCTGGTGAAGTATAACTTTGCATGTATCAGAAACTGGGATGTGTTTTAACTCCTGATGGAACTCTGAACATAATGCAAGACCATTACGCTGCTGTTAAATGAGTAGTGCCCATAAGGTTTGTTTTTTCTCCTTTTCAGTGGAAAGAAAACGTAACCCTCACGGAGAGCCAAGTACAGGCCCTGGCACTAAGCAGGCAGGCAAGCCAGGAGCTTGATGTCAAGCGCCGAGAAGCCATCTATAACGACGTCCTTACTAAACAACAAATGGTAAAGTATCTCCTGCCTATTTGACCAACTGTCCATGTGTGGCCCGGGATGTTGAGTGTGGACTGTGCATGTGTGTGTTCATAAAACCGGAGTAGGCGTTTAGGTAGATAAATACGTACCCGCAGAACATGTGTTTCAGTGGGCCAGGTATTTGCTGGCATTGTGAAGTGGGGAAATGGTGGCTTCTGCAGTGTGTTGGATTGCATTGCTCAGCCTGGTCAAAGGAGAATCCATGAGAAGTTCATTAAAAAGAAACACCAGATTTTTCTGTTGGAGTAGTTTGCTTGAAGGTCACGAGGCTTAAAGAGAAACCTGATTCCCAGAGAGAGCTCAGAAACCAACTTCATGAAACACAAATCTCAGACAGTATTGGTAATGGCTTTTCATCTTAGAATTATTCTGCAGAATCTGAAAGACGCTCACATGATGTCAATGGGAAGACTTTTTCCTTAGGCAAGCAAACATTTAGTGACAGTCTGCACGCAGCACTTTGGAACGGAAGATAAATGGTGTCTGACAAATAATGTTGTAACTTATACCTGGGAATAATTTCACAGTATAGTGCATGTTGCCATAGCAACTTACCTAATGCTGCAAGCAATACAATAGGCAAGTCATTAAGAGAACTTAGCCTTAAATGGTGTTACTAAATGGTTTCTACAGTCATCAACTTGTGAATACCATCACATTAGTGATGGTGATAACAATGGTGCTTTTTTCTTCAGCCACCCTATCCCTAACTAATTGATTTTAACTCTGAACTTGATACTTGCAGCACTGAGACAGGCACTTACAACAGCTCTACTTTCCCTTCACAGTTGATCAGTTGCGTTCAGAGGATACTTATGAACAGAAGACTACAGCAGCAGTACAATCAGCAGCAGCAGCAGCAGATGTCGTACCAGCAAGCAGCAATGAGTCACCTCATGATGCCAAAGCCTCCAAATTTAATCATGAATCCTTCCAACTACCAACAGATAGATATGAGAGGAATGTATCAGTCAGTGTCTGGTGGTATGCAGCCACCACCATTACAACGAGCACCACCCCCAATGAGAGGCAAAAATCCAGGGCCTTCCCAAGGGAAATCAATGTGATTTTGCACTAAAAGCCTAAAGGATTGTTAAAATCAGAGAAAGAACTTTTATTTTTTTAGGAATCAATGGCTTAACAGAACTCAACTGTAAAAAAGGTAAAAAATAGTTTGGTTGGTCCCCTTTAATGCCACGTTCCATATTAGCGTTTCAGCTTTGTTTAACTAGGACATAATGTTTTCCCTGTTGTCAGTGATGTTGCCTAGAATCTTCTTACATATGTTGAGTACAGGAGATAACAAGTTGTTTTCAGTGAAAACAAGTCCTCCCGTAACAGTAGCATCTCCACAGGTTTCCTGTCTAAACTCCTATGCTTGCTTTTAGTGGCTGTGAAGCTGTCATCAGATTTGAGAAGCTTAGGAAGGACTGCAGGTCTGTATGTTTCAGTATATACCATATGTGAATTGTAAACAGCTGAGTTCTTGATTAGAGTTGATTCCTCAAATTATGGAATACTTTTCTGCTTACCCATTTCTTTATATTAATGGGAATATTACAAGATAAATAGTCTAGTTCCCTTTTGACTGAGGTCTGGACTCGTACTCTATCATCTGTGCTGAATGAAACAGCAACTAAAAATACTCTGGAACAGAATTGAGTGCAATATTCTTAAATACTACTACTCTGAAACTTTTGAGTCGTGCAGTTATATGGAAACTGTGTACACAGCCTTAACTCTGGTGACTTGCGGAAAGCGATTGCTCTTCCCCAGTCTTCTGCCATTTTTTGTTTTCAGTTCTATGTGATGGAATAACAAGCGATGATCTTAGTTGGAAATGTTTTTCCTTCACATGCGAATTCACTCTACGTGGAGTCCAGTACAAAGCACATTTCTGTTAACTCCTTAATGCTGGTGCTACTGTCTTTTCCCATTGCCGGCAGTGGGAGACAGGCCAAGACAATTGAATTCCTGGTATTTTGGGGGTTAAAAATAAGGATGGTGGCCAGGGTCAAACCCTGTTACATAAAACAACTTTAAAATGGCAGAACCATTGCTGATACAAAATTGATGCAAAGAAAAGTGCTATTGCAACTTCCAGAGCTGCCAGAACAGCAAAATACCTTTTTCCTCTATTAGGTAAGAGTTTTGGTTATGCACTCCTCTCCATCCCCTTCCGTTTTGTGTGAAAACATGATTAATACACAAAGAGCTTGGTTTTGTTCTGTTTTGGTTCTTTTTGCGTAGACCATGGATACATTTCTGGTTTGTTATATATCATTAGCACTCCCTTTCCCCACTCGTTTCTGTTCTTGTGAAGACCTACAAATAGGCTTTTTCTTTGCATATAGTTTGGTTGATTCTTTGCCTCCCCCAAAAAAGAAGAGTTTGTAAATCTGGGGATAAAAGTAAGTGATAGGAACATCGAGGCAATGGTGTATCGACTACAGAGAGCTCTGGAGGAGCGAGTGGATGGAGGCGTTTGCTCCAGCCATTGCTGGACTCTTCTGACTTGCTGACGTGAACTGAAAAGTGTTTTGGTTTCTGGGAAGTTTCTTGCAGGAGTTTGAGTTCTTGCCCTGAATGGACAAGTGGGTTTGTGCATCTGAATATGCAGATCTTACACAAGGATTCAGTTGGCAATTGAAACTTGGTTTGCGATCGGAACAGTTTGTTTGACCTGTTGCAAAGCCAGCTAACAAGTTGCTGTCTTGGACTCTTATTACAAGATACCACAAGAGAACCTCAGTATGTTTGAGTGCTTTGCCAGTTCTGCAGTTCCATTTTATTGGGGGGGGGGGGGGGGGGTAGCAAAAGAAAGACGTGTTCACATGAGAAGAAACAAGACGTGAGACTTTTGAGACAAACATTTGAAGGCAAATGTACTCTGGGCAACTCTCACTGATACTCCTACGTGTCGTGAGTAAGAGAAATCCTTTCTACCAAACCTGGGAATGTTCAGTGGAGTTTTACAGTAACTCAAAGACTTAAATGTGGAAGTTTTAGGCAACATTTAAAGGCACATTTTTTTTCATTCTGGACACAGCTATGGATAACAGAAGACTAACCACGTAAGAAGGAATCAGAGATAAGCATTGAAATAACCCTTGGACCACTTTGCATACATGTTTCTCACTTGACATTTTAGCTGCATAACAATGTGCTTTGAGTATAACATCAAGCTTTAACAAATATTTAAAGACAGAACGTACATCAATAAGATAATAAAAGGCTCATTTTTGTATTTGTTTTTGATGTTTTAACTAGATGAAATGGCTTAAGATGACGAATAAAAATGTTGCTTGTAATACAGTTTTGCCTGCTAAATTCTCCACATTTTGTAACCTGTTTATTCCTTTGGATGTAAAGCGTTTTTGCTTAGTATTGTGATATTGTATATGTTTTGTCCCAGTTGTATAGTAATGTTTCAGTCCATCAACCAGCTTTGGCTGCTGAAATCATACAGCTGTGAAGACTTGCCTTTGTTTCTATTAGATGGCTTTTCAGTTCTGTATTAAATATCTTAAGTACTATAGAAAAGGTGTCCCCTCTTCCTCTAAGGCTGTTTTGTAATATATATAAGGACTGGAAATGTGTTTTTAAAGAGAAGAAGCATTCAAGTATGACAATATACTATCTGTGTTTTCACCATTCAAAGTGCTGTTTAGTAGTTGAAACTTAAACTATTTAATATCTCATTTAATAAAGTGACCAAAATACATCAACGTGCCTTGTGCTACATTCACAATACAGGACTAACGCCGCAGGGAAACGGGCTGAGAGCGAACGTGGCCTCTGAGAACCGCTCTGCGAGTCGAAGCCCTGAGTTTTGCTGCACTGAGAGGTACCCGTTACTGGATGTAGCCATTAATGTCATTGAGGGGAAGTGGTTGTGGTCTGAGTTTTCTAATTACATTAATTAGTAACAGCTTCTGCAGCCAGTCTGGCTGCTAAACATAGAGTGAGTTATCACCCAGCCATGATACAGCATTATGTGTGAGGTGATGTTCTACTTGGTCCAATTAGAAGAACCTAATTACGTATTTTATCCTTATAATTGTACTTCTCCCTTTCTTAGTTATTAAATCCCACCTCTTGGGTAAAAAATAACCTTCCCTATGCAAAAACCAGCATGAGAGTTGTGTTCTGAATATGTCCCTATACTTGTTCCCGGTACCTGAAGTTCTCTGGTAGCTCCTGGCCAGGGCTGCAGCCCCACTGCTGCCCCGGATGCATCTGCTGGGGAGGTACAGCTGGATGTGCTGGGAGCTGAGAAAGGGCAGATGCCATGGCAGTCATGTCTGGTATGAAAATACTCACGTTGTGCTGTAAGGGGCAGTGTGGGCAACGTGGTTTGAAATGTCCCTGTAGCTTTAATTTGGTTACAAACTCACACAAAGCAGGGCTGCGAGGGGCTCCAGCACTGAGCTTACCCGGTGGGGTCTTTTGTCTTTACCTCAAAAGCAAAACCACCCTGAGCAGAGTAAATAAAAGTTAAATTCATCAGGTCAAGCAAAAAGATGGTTGGAGTTTGATAAACTGTCACCGTTTATGGGAAGACAAATGTCCTAAATGCGCCCAGCTGGAGACGTTTGGGTAAGTGTTGCCATGAAGTGTGCAGGGTCTTGAACTTCCCATTCCTGCTGAGGTGTGGACATAGCCCCATATGCACCCTCTGCACTGGGGAGTCCGCCCTGGAGATGCATCCCAGCACAGAGCAGCAGTAGGACACCACCCAGGAGAGTCTCTGGGAGAGCTGTGCTGCCCTGAGGTGCAGGAAGGTGGTTTTCATCCAGGCACAGCTCCTGTACCTGTTGTGCCTGGTGACAAGGGCCTGGAGGTGACCAGAGGAGGGTGATGCTGCCCTGGAGAAGGGCAGGAATGTGAGCACAGGGGAGGTGCTAACCCCTTGGCTCTCTGCTCAGCTGCTTTCAAGGTCTGATCTCAGCTGCCTTGGCTTCGTGTTCAGGGGTTGGTGCATGTGAAAAGCACTGGACGCTGAATGTGACATGGTTGATGCCTGGTGCACCCCCCGCCTGGAGGGGCACCTTCCCTGCCTGGCAGCACTGAGTTCATGGATTCTCTCTGCTGTTCAGGCTCTCCATCACATACTCCAGAGGAGGTAAGTCCCTGGGGCCTCTGTTCCTTCCCCCTCCATGGAGAAATGAGCCTTGAGCCACATGTCCCACCCAGGATAGCTCTCTGCAGTGTCCCTGTAGGGACATCCCTGAGGCCACATGTGCATTGCCCCTTGTAGGTCTGTCTCCTCAGTCCCCTCCCAGACCTTGGATCACGCAGCAAAGCTGGGGAGAGGGATGCTTTTGCTGGGGCTGTGCTGTGCCTGGTGCTATGTTGGCCTCACACAGAGGGTTCCCTTCTGTTTCTGCACCCCGTTGTAGAGACACTCAAGACACTGCCTGTCTCTTTGCTGCTGACATCCACCCTCCTGCTTTGCACAGCTGTTCCCGGTATTAGGTTTCCATTCCAACATGCCCATCCCTCTGGGTGGAAGGGGAAGGGTTGAAAGCCTTTTGTCCTATTTATGTGGTTTTCAGACCCACATCTTTGTGGATGTAAAACAGCACTGGGGGTGAAGGGGCAGCGGGACCACGGCCACCCCCTGCACCAGCCACCCTTGCCCTCCCTTTGGGAGGAGTTTTTCAGCTCTGTTGTGACTTTGAAAGACGTAGAAACTGAGCTGAGATTCCAAACACATCAACGTTTCCTGTTGCTAATTTACGAGGAAGTCTCTTGGGTTGAAGCATCACAAACGTGTTTTCCTCTGAAACTTTCCCAGCAGGAGCAGGGCCCGTCGCTGGAGCAGACCCACCTCGGCCCGGCTGCAGGGTCCATTCGCCAGCCCTGTGGAAGCCTCCAAGCCAAAGGAGCAGTCGGCATCTCCAGGCACCGGTGGGATAATGAACGGCTGGACAAGGTGACAGCCCGCTCTGTGCGGGGACAGGACAAGAGGCAAGCGTGTCCCATTGCCGACTGCACCCTGTGCTGCTCGGAACGCAGCCGGAGTCTGCAGTTGTTAATTCTGCTGCTGCTCAGCTCCCAGCTCAGCCAGGTTACTCCTGCCTACAGTGTTGTGTTGAACCAGAACCAAACCCAGTAAATACCTGCTGAAAGCAAACCTTTGGGTGGGATTTTGCAGTGCTGAGCTCCACCTTTACGCGATGTCCCCCGTGGGAGGTGACACCAGCCTTTACCAAGGCGTTTCTAGCAAAATCTCTGTGGGGTTTATTGTTTGCAAGGATCTTTTTTTTCTGAACCCAGGTCCTGAAAAGGTGTTAACGCCATCCCTTGCTCCTGTGTGTCCTTTCATGGCAGGAGGCAGCTCGTCGATCTGGGTATCAAACATACAAGTCCCCCACATTGTCCCCATGGACCAAATCAGCTCCCTTTGCAATGGGTGAAGAATGTGGCATTGCTGAGATCAGGTTTTGTCCTTCGTTTTGAAGAAGAGCAGCAGGATCTTAACCACTGGATTTATCTTCAGGCGCAATGGAAAGCAAAGGCAGGATCATCCCAGGGAGGCAGAGCAAAGCTCGAGGTCTGAGGGATTTCCCTTTGCGCAGGGGAAGGTCAGAGGTACTCCTCAGGACACTTTCTAGGAGCAGGCGTGCTCACGAGGAGATGTTTCAGCAGTGACTCAGAGGAAGAAGGTAAATAAGCACGTTTCCTTTCAAACACAGGATTAAATTCCTTTGTGGCTGGATCATTCCAGGTAAAGCTCCTGAGATCACCTTGTTGCAGTCACAGCCTGGTGGCTGCACCCAGCTGCTAGGACAGTGAAGGGACATGGCAGGGATGCAGGAGGTGGCATAAAAGGCAGTGAACAGCCAGAAGCAGAGCTGGACTCCTGGGCTGCTGCTCTGTTAGCAGCACAGCTCAGGAAGAAGCTGGTGTGGATGATCCCTAAATCAGTGAAATCATCCTGGGAATTCATAGACTTGAAGCTGAAGGAGCCAAGAATTCTTTCACCTCGATTGCTTTGTTAGGAACAGCACTGTGAAAGGTGCAGTTGTGGTAAAGAAAACCCCAACTCAAGGCTACTACAGCTGTGTTTGTACCTATTTTTGCATGCTCTGGAGAGCCACGTTTCATGCCAACCTCTCCTCTGTGCTGCAGAGTGCTTCTAGCAACTACACACTCCTGCTCCCACCTCTGCTACAAACCCTCTCTGCTGGTCACAGGGGACAGAAGAGTAAACTGGGATCATTCCTGAAGCCTCCCTGGCAGCCCTCTGGCATCTCAAGTAGGCAGCGAGGGCAGATGTGTGGCACGAGTGTCACCATGGCGTGAGCTGCAAAGACTCCACCATGAGCATCCCCAGCCAGGCCAGCCCAACAAGAGGAGGGTGCAAATGTGGGGCTGGCTGGGGGCTACTGGAGGCAGGTTTGGTGGAGCCCAACGGAAGGCAGGAGCTGCCCTGGAACAGAGGAAATGTGATGGGATTGTGGGACCAGACAGCTTCTGATGAGGAAAATGCCATGCATATGTGCAAGTCCAAGCGCTGCCTGCAGGGGTGGTCTTCATCCATGGTAATTCCTTAAAAACGAGGGGTTTTGGGAATTGCTTTTGTTGTTTTCTACAGTTTCGCCACTGATTGTCCAGGATGCTTCAGGTAAGTCTTGGGTGAGATGTGGTGGTTTTACTGCAGGAATGATGGGTCCATCCAGATGCTCAGCGGATGCTCCAGCTGTTTCTCCACTTGAGTTTTGATGGGACATTTAATCCACAGCAATTCAACACGTGCTGAAGCTCCTCAGATGCCATCGAGACAAATGTCTTCCCTATAA